GAACCTGGATCCATCTTAACGTCACCCCAAGCCGCCGAATGAGTCGCAGGATTTCCCCATCCAAAAGAACTGATCAACCTGCTGGGGGATTCCAAGAAACTGTGGATTCTTTCCATGTCTACAAGGAAACTCAGGCAACAATTCCCTGGATTTTCGAGGGTTTTTGGATGACCACCTGGGTCACGGGGGCGAGTGCAAAACATGCGCCTCAAGCAAAGGCCAAGCAATCCATTTCGATTCTGGGTTCTCCCTAGGCACTGCTAAGAAGGGCCTTCGGTGCTCAGTAGGAGATAGTAGCCCCCCCCACCCGCACGCTGATCCTTCCCGGATTCGGCCAAGTGAACTTTAGCTAGGTCCTCCAGTAGAGAGGGTAGAATAAGGGTACCCATTTTTCTGTAGTCTATTTTAGTAGGGGAACCCTCTCGCAAGAAAGGGTAAAAGGGCAGGGGACCTAGTTGGAGGAAACATGAAGCAAACATCGAACCGAAAGAAAAGTGATTTTCCTAGGGTCGCCAGGGTCTGGTTTCCTCTTGGCGATTTCAGGGACGGGTTTTGGAGGTATGGAGGCGATCACATACCATCAATACAATCTTGTAAGATGGTGTAGAGATAGATATGTACATATATATATATATGTAAGTACACACTAATAAGTGGCATATAAAAAGTTTTGGTTCCCTCTAAAATCCAAAAAAACAACCCCCTGACAGTTCCGCAAATTTGACTGTGATTCCAGAAGCTGAACCAAGGGATCCCCAAGTAAAGGACCTTTATCATGACTTTCACTCGCTTTACTCCCAGCTCATCGCTGGAACCGCTCGCGCGATTCAACAACCGGCAGTAAAAACCATCACCCCCAAGGGACACAAAATGCGCTGGGCCAAACAAGTAAAAGCAAAACCACCAACAAAATGGACAAAAGGCTGTGGTTGTCAAAACTAAACCACCAGGAATTGGACCGCAGATTTTCGTCCTTGGCTCCATTTACCAGGGCAACCCATTTTGGGTACCCATTTTTGACCCACGGCCAAGTAGGAATCGACCCCTGCTCTTGCTAAAAATACTCCTTCCCCTACTGACAACCCTCCCATTCCCCGGCCGACCCCAATTCTGTTTTGGCTCGACCCCCTAAGCGCAGAAACAGAGTCTTCCCCAACAAAGGGACATGGCAAATACCATAACTGGAATTCGATCTCCAGAACTCGTTTTCTCCCCCGCTCCGCGATGGGGATGCCTTACTTAGGTGCTCCGATATTTAAAAAAAAAAACATAAAAAGAGGGTACCCCTTTTTTCTGTAGTCTACTTTAAATTGGGGAACCCTCCCAACCACAAAAAGGGGTGAGAAAGGGCACTACTCAGAGACCTAGCTGCAGAAGTTTCGCCCCCCCACGCACCGATCCAACGTTCCGACCAGGTGCCCCTGGGAGCTCCGAAAAGCGCCACCTCGCTCTGTGCATTGAGAAGCAGGGGTCCCTCGTGAAAAACCTGTTGGTTTCCTTCTTTTGAATACGCAGTCCAGTTTTTTTGGGTGTTCCCCTTTGTAGTACCCAGTCATTTTGTTTTTGTGGGGCTGGGGGGGGTTTCCCATTTTTGTGCTTTCCATTTGTTTTTGGTTTCCAATCTAAACCAGCGGAACCCATCTATTTCTATTCAAGCTGAGCTTAAAAGGACACCTATGCTTTCTACATGTACCCGCCTGCAGGTGTACCTCTTCGGGGACCCTGATTTGGGGATCTGCTAGCGCGAGCGCCCAACACCCTTTGACTTTGGGTTCTACTAGATCAGCTATAAAGGCTTTATTTGGCCATGGCTCAAAAAAGGGTATGAATCGTTCTGCAGTGATCCGAATTCCTTACCATAACCTCAGCTGCCCCTTGAACCCAGAAATGACCTTTTGGGGCCATGACTGCAATTTGACCGAAAGAGAGAAAGTATAAGGTCAAAATCCGCTTTGGGCAAGTGAGTAACTCCTGTTGAAACCAGGTAGCGACACCTCCTACTCAAATGCCCAATAGGGGTTTTGGGCGCTTTCAACAAGCAAACCGCTCCATGGAATCGTTGCACACCAGTGTTTTGCTCCAGAAATGGCACCTTATGGAATATCCCGTGGAATGCCACAATCTTAAGCTCGAGTGTTTCCAAACCAAACCACGCCTTGCAGCTCATTGTTCAAACGGGTTGGGTTCCTCTCATGGAAACGGGGCCCGTTTTGGTAAGTCTTCAAGGGACACCAAGAGCAAACAAGGGCCGATTTTGCTTGCAGCTCCCCTCGCTTTGAATCTCTGAATAAGAAGTGGGGCTGCTTGAAATGAGGTGCTGATCTGCACCTGTCACAGCTGAATTACAAGAAAGCCCACGCGAATCCAAGGCGAGGGCGGCAGGAATGGGAATCAGTTGGTGTGGCGATGGCATGGCATGTGTTGAGATGGCGAATGACATGAGCATGCGATTTTGGTTCAGCTTCACTAGGAAAGGTTAGGAACATCTAGGAAACATAAGAAAGGTAGGAAACCATCCCCCGACTATACGGGGGGGGGTGGGGGGTCCCCCAATTCCATGCATCTAGTCTTCCCCTTAAAAGGGAAACGGAACGTCTAAGGGGGTGGGAATAGGACAGGATAGAGCGACGGGTTGGAAAAAAGCAGGCCTGGAGAAATCCAAAAAACATTTGCAGAAGCCTTCCCCACAGCAGATCATTGAGGCACAGTGCAATGGGGCAGCTGCAGTGGGCAGGGCTGAGACACGAGTGCTTGAGGTGGATTTGTTTGCTTCTTTGTTTGTGCGGCTTTACATGTCAACTTTTTGGTAGGCGTTCATAAGGTTTTTGTGGTTCTCCATGGCTTCTTGTGGCTGTCCCTTTTTTCAAAAGGTGAAGCGAGCCCATTTCATTTTGTATAAATTGAACTAACACCCAAATGTGCCCAGCCAAATTGGTGCTTTCCTTTGATTCCCGTGAAGGTCCCAACCATGTACGGGAACACAGATCCATATTTCTTTTAAGTGATACCGACCCAACCTGCCCAGACGTGAAAACACATGGAGTCAAATGTTTTCGGACTCCCGACGGCAAGGCTCCTGGGTTTTGATGGCGTGTTTCTCACGAATTGTGGACCCTCTGTTCGTCCATTTGAAACTTGCGCAAGCGCCCTGGAGAAAAAAAGAGAACATATTTCCAGTAGTGAGATTGAGACCACTTTAGACCAACAGGTAAAAATGACAACAACTTCTTAAGCACATTGCAGTCTTGGTTGGAACTTGAGGGGAAACCAACCGGAAACCAAGCGTAGCGAGTAAACCAACAGGCGAAAATGACAAATTTGAGGGATTGGACACCAGCATGGTGGACCCACTTTGTTGAGAACCCAACCCCCACTTCCCCCTTTTCCACCGGCCGAAGGGGCCGACTCCCCCTGCTGGACCTTCAGCAAGTCCTGCGCTCTGCTGCCTGCGAGGTTTCCGGTGGATTTGACTCCAAACCTGGATTTTGGGTGGTTCCTTTTCTGGGCTGTCCTCAGATCCCCCGCTAAAGTCACTAAGTTTTAGAAATGCAAATCCCCACTAAACACTAAAAGGCAAAAAAGCTAAGGGGATGGCTGGGTTAAGTGCAAACGGAACCCAGCAGAAAATCAAACTCCATGGTTGGGGTCCAAAGCTTTACTTTTGCCACGAAGCCACGTTTTGGCTGTGATAACCAAGGGCACTCCATCCATTTCACTCCAGAACTCGGCCGAGGTATTTGTTTTGTGCCACGGTTTACCGGTTAAGCTCGACTTGGTGAGCTTGGCTGCTGTCCTTGGCGCCTTGGGAGGGCGTATCGGTGCCAAAAATCAGGCCCGAAGAACTGATCAATGACACATTGCCTATGCCCTTTTGAAACCAAATGGGACGCTGGTTCCATGGCACCATCTCGAGGATTTGAACCGGACATGGCTCCATGGCAACGCGAAAGGGTGCGGTGAATTGGACACACTCAGCGCGCAAGAGCCATCACAATGAGATGATCTAGGAGAACATATATATGACCACACTGCAGTCTTTTCAGGGTGGGCGGGCAGGGTACACTTGAGCATCATCATGATGCGGCATTTCAATTGGCTCTAAGGTCAAACCAGTTCAAGAACGATAATGACCACACTGCAGTCTTTTCATGCCAGAGATAAACTTCTGAGCTTTGCGTCCTGGCGTCACAGCTAAAACGTGTTGTCTTGGCCAGGCCAGCGAGCGAAGAAACCAAAGAGGCATGCATGCCACCTCCATTCCAGTCATACGCTCGAATGACGCACCAATTTAGCGTGTGCTCTCTGGTTGAAGCCGCCTCTGAAAACGCTCAGCGGTGCGACTCACTTCCGCGTTGAGGAAGCACTGCGCCAAGAGCGTGCAGAGTCTATGTGGGTACGGTTCGGCAATTTTGGTCCACCATTGCCCAGCCTCGTTCTGCCCTGCCAGCATAAAGTGACGCTTTCCAGAGCGTGTGCAGCACCCACGTCGGGCCCCAATACAGCGGTAATGCGAGAGGGGGTCCAAACCAAAGTGAACACTGACAAACCTTGTACTTTTGCGCCACATAGCGCCGAACATGCAGAATTCCACTTGTTGTTGATGCACTTGTTTCTTGCGAAGCAATCGCGCAACTGCTGGGCACAACCATAGTCTTGACGAGGTAGGGTTTTCCATGCTGAAGAAAATCTGCAAGGCGAGGGCCAGGTTGAGAACAGTGACAGAGAACAACATGAACATGTTCCCCTCGTTGACTTTGACACGATCATCAGGTGACAAATCGGGCAGCCCAAGCGGGCAAGTGCTGCTTCCAAGGGCGGGGGCCCTGGGGGACGGTCACGTGCTTGGGTGAAAGTGTGACACGGTGTTCCCAAATGGCCCCCCCGTATGCGTCCAGATCTCATCCAACCCGCAATTTTGTGTCTGTTGTGAACACACCGCAGATCATACTCTGGGCCGAGATTGATGTCCCACAACAAACAAGGCCAGCCGTTTTCCTTTGCTACAGCACGGCTGAGATTGCCAGATCCACTGAAAATCTCAATGAACACGGCGGGCGCGAGGCTAGCTGGAACATTCATCGCAGGTTGGCAAGGAGTTGTGGCAAACGGTCGCACGCGCTGATTGCTTTTTGCTGTACTTTGGCCGGCAAGCTTGCAAACAACTGCGCTAGCCTTCCGCCTTTCTGGTACCTCCGTACGCTTTCCTGTGTCTTCCACCTGCCCCGGGCTTGCACTGCTTTCAAGTCCCGGAAGCCCATGTTGAAATCGTGGGACGCGCCCCCGTGCCTGAAGCGGTACGGGTGGACGGGGCCCAAGTTGCGCAGGTCCAGCTTTTCGGCGGCCTCGGCCAGGAAGGCGACCACATTCTTGTTTTCGTGATTGAAAATCACGTCGCCGGGCTGCCGACCTCGCAGTTGAGCCTGGCGTTTGACTGCTTCCCCAATGCCCTGGTGGTAATCTAAGTCGAACTGCAGGGTCTCGTCGAACTCCATGGTCTTGGACGGGCGAGCAGCCTCCAGCGGGTGAAGTGTGACTGTCCACCGCTGGTAGCCAGCACGTGCCCGCTTCAGCGGCGCCACCAAATCCATCTGCCGGATTCGCAAAGCTTCCGAAGGCCGCAAGTAGAGCGTAAACATTAAGAGGATGTGGAGCCCAATCATCACATGGTTGGACTTCATGGCATACTCGACCAGTAGGCAGGTGACTTCCCAGGGAACGGGCAGCCGGCTCCTTGGAGGACTGAGCTTCCCCCACCCTCGCAAGCTCTGCTTGATTTTGGGCAACGAAACCATGCCAGGCGTCCGCAAACTGGGACGGAAGAAACACAGGGCTGCCACCACATACTGGGCCGAGCTGACGTCTTCCCCATTGTGGTACATTTCCTCGAGGTAAGTGGCCAACACCTTGTCCACCACCTTCGCTGGCTTGAGGCCCCCACTGCGGTTGGTCACCAACTGCGAGATCTGCTCCCACCAGAACTGATACCTTTGGAAGCACTTCTTGGAGACGGAGGACTCTTGGAGAACGGTCATCTCGGAGCTTGCGGCCTTGTGCTTTTTCCGGGCTGTCACCCGCATTTCCTTCCTTGCCGGACGGCTCAATTCGGCCGTTTCCATGGACCAGCTGGCTTTGAGTGATGGTGCTGGGGTGGGTAGTGAGGCCGTGCGGACAGCTTGTGTTGAAGCCTTCCTCCGCGCCGGCTTCTCCCATGTGACCCCCCCTGGCACCACAATGCCCTGGTGGATCATTGAGCTGCTGCGGCACGCTTGGCACCCAACCTCCCCTTGATGGTGAATCAGCGGGGTTCCACTCACTCGGGATCCATCTCAAGTGTATCTCGGAGTTGGTGACAAGCGAATGCGCGGCAATCTGCTGAATCACTCTTCTCAACTGAAAACCATGCGACCTTCCCCTTGAAACTGCACATGCAACTGTCATGCTGTCCGTGAGGATGAGGTGCTTCTTTCCAAAGGCGCTCATGTTTCGTAAAGCATGCTTCACCCCAAACAGAACTGCTCGCGCCTCGGCAACTGGCATAGAGAGCTCCCGCTGCCAGCGGTGGCGGCCAATTGTCTGCCATTGCTGGTTGACAACCTCAAACGGCACACTTGCAAAATCACCAACCCGGTCATGCGGGGCGTCCCGATCATCTTGTTTGATGCAGGACGGCACGTCACAAAAAGGCAGCTCAAACTCAGCCATGGTGCGCTGCCTAGGGTTTGCTGTCAATGGGTCCTTGAAACGCCACCTCTCGCAAAACTTTCCAATGGACTTCGCCTGCTCATATGGAATATCCGACTGCGTGGCTCCCAGCCCCCATTCTGAGGCATCGGTCGCCAGAAGCTTTGTCGACCAGGCTGCTTTTAGGTCCCGCCTGATGAGCGGAAGAATGCCATCCCAGTTTGAAAGCTCTTGCCGAACGTGCTTGCCGAGGGGGTGCTCAAGGGAATTGTGCTCGTGAGTCTTTATGAAGTCATAGATGTGCCCAAAGCAAGAAAGCGACTCCCTTCTCCCCATGCTAATGAAACCGCAATGTCCAATGAGCTTCTGCATCTCCTTTGATGTGGCATGTCCCCGTTTCAGAACTTCACGCAAAGCCAGTCTCACCCGCCAGCACCTTTTCCTCGTGGGCCGAAACTCGCCATTCGCAGTGAAATGCCATCCTAAAACTTGGGCGCCGTCGGAGCTGCTTTCAACTTCGTGAACCTGGAGACCAGCGCGGGTCAGCTCCTTAACTGCGCGCTCAAAAGCGCCCTTCACCATCTCCCGGTCAGTCCCGAGCACCACCAGGTTATCGACATATTGTAAATGGCAGCACGAAGTTGAGGACACTGGGTGACGATCCCTAAGCCTCACATCGGAGCCAAGACCACTCCGCTCGACAACCCGTTGGTGTAGCTGCTGACAAACATAAAGTGCCCAAGACCATCCCATCGGGACGACAGCCAGCCTCGGCGTCAGCAGCGTGCCCGGCCTCACCGGTCTCCCGTTCACCTCCAGCAAACCCAGATCCTTGGCCATGACGGGCCGCAGAGCAAAGTATTTACGTAGCTGGCGGGGAAGAGACAGGTGGTAAAAGGCGTCCTTGAGATCGGCCGTGCAGATGGTGAGCCCTTCTTCGGCATCAGGATCCAACTCAATCCGACCAAGGCAATCAGCCGTGGCTAAGGAAACGTAGCTGGGGTTCCTGAAATGAGCATTTGAACGGCGGGCATCAATCACCATACGCTGCCGTCCCATCTTCTTGGAAACGAAGAAGCACTCAACCTGCTCTACTCCTGGTGACGTGTCTACGTCGATCAAATTGGAACGCCACAGCCGCTTGATGAAGTCGATGTAGTTGTGTTTCACCCTCAACAGCGGGTCAGAGTATGCTCTTGACACCCCGGCCTGCCTCAGGCGAGCCTCCACTTGATCTGGCGGCAAAAGCTGGTTGTGTACAAGGTCGTACACGAAATCACACCCGTCTCCGCCCCACAATTGGCCAAGCTCAATGGGAGACCAACCTTCATCAGGAAGCGAGACAGATTCGGGCTTGTACGACACCAAAGACCCTACTGGTTGGCTCTCAGCATAGTCTTCAGTTGTCCGGAGCATTGACCAAGCTCCTGGACCCGTCAAATCGGCAGGGGGCCGACCCAACTCATGCACTGATTGGATGATGAATTCAATGGCCTTTGCCTGAGCAGACCCATGACCCTGCAGCGCCTCCTCCAAGGGAAAGTCGCCCTTGCCGGAGACGTTAGCACCAAACATTGAATTCAAAGCTCGGACGGTATAGTTGGCCTCCACCTGTATGTGCCGCGCGCACTGGACCCGGCGGACGCAGGAGCGTGACATGCCTCGCCGAGGGTCCTGGTCACAAAGAACTGCAGGTAGAGGAAAAAGGTCCCGTGGCTTCCGAACTGTAGGCCCATGCAAAAGCGAAGAGGCTGGCCCAATTCCTCTTTGCTGCCCCGGCTCAGGGGGCGTCCCCATCTCCCTTCTTCTTCCCGGGACCCTGACCTTTTCGTGCCAGGTCTCGCTCTTCTCGTGCTTTCCTCAAGTTCTTGGCCAAGGAAGCATCACGTTCAACCTCAATTTTCACATGCTCCAGGAGCTGGGGGCAAACCATCAGTGTTGATGCCATCCTTGTCACACCACCAAAGACTTGTTGCTCTTCCAAAGATAGTCGACCACCAACCGCCTTGCTTTCTAGGTCTTTGATCTTCTCGCTGTAGCTGAACTCAATGGCCTGCATGCGTCGGAACACAATCTCCAAGAACATGTTGTTATAAGGGTTCAACTGGTCAGTGAGAAGGGCATGCTTTACCACGTTGGTCAACTGATAGTGCTCTTGCATCCCCCAAGATCCACTGTCAGCTTTTGCCAAGGTGCGGAAACGTTCGTGGTGACCCTCCAGACCCAAACCCTCGGTGATGAGATAGGCAATGCACCATTTGGCCGTACGTGGTCCCATCAGCGACCACTGCATAGCGGTCTCGGAGCTGCGCGAAGCAACTTCCTTCAGTGAACACTCAGCTTTCCCCAGCCCGTTCAGCTCGATGGCGATAATGCGATTGTCGCACAAGGCAGGTTTCTTCATGTGGTCAGCCAAGCGGTTGCCCTGGATGCATTCAACAAACAGCGAGGTACCATCGGCACTCACATGGACTGCCTTTGCTCCGAGCACTGCTGCCACTCCAACACCGTTGACAACCTCGCCGTACCGGAAACCGCCCGCACATTCCGCTGCCACCCAATAGAGCTGATCCGCGATTAGGGCCGCATCTGCATCCACCGCTGCCACGGCGCCTGCGACCGGGAGTGCCGGAGGGGCAGCTGCCGCGGCGCCAGCAACCGGGGCGCCAGCGGCAGCAACTCCACGCGCTGCCCGCTCTGTCTGGGCCGCAGCAACAGCCTCCGCGCGAAAACCGGCCATCTCCGCAGCCGTGAAGGCCGGCAGGGCGTAGACCTGGTGCACCCGAATGCCGGCGGGCAACACACCAGGGCTTGGGCGGGCGCGAAGCCCACGCAGGTCATCATTTACCACCGAAAGCTCTTCCACATATACATCCTTGTCGGGGGTAACTATGGCATAAAACTCACCATAAGCGTGTTCAAGAACAAGTCGCTCATGCCAGAGGATTGGTCCGGGAACATCATATTGTAGGAGCATATGCCGGTGAATCAATGCCATGACGACGCAAACGGATCTCAGCCAATTGCTGATGTGCCAAAACCCGTTGCCGCGTTGCAGAGACAGGTGAAATATCAGCTGGAGCGAATTCACTCTGATGATTCCCTCGTCTTCCCGCAAGCCACCGACCAGCCAAACAAGCCAACAAGGCCACCACCCACCAGGTACAAAGCGCAAATGCGAGGTAAAAAGACCAGGGTGCCCAAACTGTTTGAAATCGCTCTGAGAGGAGGCCACCACCTGCTGCGGATGGTCCACTCCCACCGGGTGGCTCTTCGGGCCCCCGATGGCAGTGCTTGGCGGCCACCTGCGCCGCAGTGAATGCTAGCTCCTGCAGCTGCTGTTCTGGTGGGGCTCGATCCTGGAGATGTCCACCAGCAAGAAAGCCCACCAAGGTGACCAGCAGATGTGAGCTCAAAGAACCCCAAATGCCAGCTCCGGGATGGCCCATTGCACGATGAGGGGACCCTTTACACTTGAGCATCATCATGATGCGGCATTTCAATTGGCTCTAAGGTCAAACCAGTTCAAGAACGATAATGGTACAGCGTTGCCAGCCCCCCCCCCCCCCTCCCCCCCCAATGGTCATGGGTCAGGCAAGTACCCCCCCCCCCCTGTGGTTGTGGTCCTGTGGTTGGGTTGTGGTGGTTTAGGGTTGGTTTAGAATTGGTTTAGGGTATATTTAGGGTGTATTTAGGGTTAGTTTAGGGTTGGTTCAGGGTTGATTTAGGTTGATTTAGGGTTGGTTTAGGGTTGGTTTAGGTTCAGAGGTGTACGGTCGGTTTAGGGTTTGGTTTAGGGTGTTTTTAGGGTTGGTTTAGGGTTAGTTTAGGGTTGGTTTAGGTTCAGGGTTTATTGTTTAGGGATTGGTTTAGGGTGTATTTGGGGTTAGGTTTAGGGTTAGTTTAGGGTTGGTTTATGTTGATTTAGGGTTGGTTTAGGTTTAAAGGTCTACGGTTTAGGGTTTGGTTTAGGGTGTATTTAGGGTTGGTTTAGGGTTAGTTTAGGGTTGGTTTATGGTTGGTTGCGGGTTGGCTTGTCCTGGGGGTGGGGGTGCCGGGGTGTCCGGGTGCGAGTTCAGGGGGTCGGGGTGGGGGTGGGACCGTAGGTGCCAGGATCCGGGGGCTCGGGGTCTCGGGCCGGGGGGGGGTCCTGGGGGACCATACCATATGGGGGGGGGGGGGGTAGCAACACGGAACACGGGACCATATATATATAATGTTAAAACACATGGATGTTGCTTTTTGTGTTTTGTCTTTACACAACAAATAACTCAAAGAGGTGGTTTTTCTTTCGCTGTCCCTTTAAGACAACCAAGAACACGCTCAAAAAAACAAACCCATATTGTATAAGCTGGTCAAGGGCATCTGGCATCTCCACAATGGGGTACACTTGATGCGGACAGGAAAGTCGATAATCGAAGAGCCTAAGCAATCTAAGCTCAGCTTGTGGAATCGTGACTAAGAACAGGCCACACCAAAAACGACAGAAAAGGCCGTGTTTTTCTCCCGGCAACTGAGGGGACCCCCAGTGGCCAATGTGGAATTGCGGCGTCATTGTAGGTGAGGGGACCCATGTTACAAAAACAGACGCGAATAGGAAAGCCAGGTGAAAAGATTGTAGGCTTGGTGAGTCGCAGTGAGGCGACCAATCAGGCAAGAAAGACACAAAAGCTCGATTGGCTTCGGAGGGTAAGTCAGCCAGCACTTCACACGAGCGAAACCTCCGGCTCATCCCATCCTAGCCTCGCCACCGGGTCTCCTTCGGGCACCTCGAAGTGGCGAAGCCGAAGACAAATCAACCGGATCTGAGCTTTCTCTGCCATAAACCATCTGGTGGTTTCCTAGGGGATCCCGAATTCATTCGCCTTCATGTTGACCCCATACTTCTCTCAACCCCAGTTGATTCATAGGGGCGGGGGTCTCTGGGTTTAGAGGCTAGGTCCTCCAGTAGAGAGGTTGGAATAAGGGTACCAACTTTTCTTCTGTTTCGTCTATTTGAGTAGGGGAACCCAACAGCCAAAAAAATGGTAAAAGGGCACTACTGGGGGACCTAGCCTGTTTGGGCTGATTTTCGGTCATGGCCACAAAAGCTTCGCCCTTTTATTTCTGGGCCCCTCAGGCAACTACCAATTGCTTGTTTGCGCTTTGTCTTCTTTTTGGTTGGTTGGGTGTTTGATTGCGAGTTTCGGCAGCTTGTTTGCTTGCTTGCTTCTGGACATTGCACATTCCATTCTGGTTTTCACAGCCTCCAAAATAGAAAGAATTCGGAAAGGAAGGACGCATGTAGCAATCGCTGAGCTACAGTGATTCTCATGGGATCCCAACCTCACAAACGTTCCCCGAACACTACGGACGGGTTTGCGATCTGGGACATGTTAAAAAGACGCTGTCAATCAGGGCTGTGGGGAATGACCACTTCTGTGATACAACGGAAAGGGCTTTCCAAAGACTATTGTGTTCATAGAAAGGGGGATTCCCTTGTATCACAGAAGTGGGGAGAAACCCCTTGATCCCACAACCCTGCTGTCAATCGACCCGTCAATGACCTTACCTCAGATAGAGTGTCTACACAAAGCAAATGCAACTTTCTTCGCCTAGGCTCCCATTGCTAGTCGGTTTCCGGTCGCTCGTTATTGTCTTACTTGGGCGTGTGTTCAAATACCACTAGAAAACTAGGGGTTGTGATTTGAATTTTTGGTTCCCCTTTAAAGAAACCCCACAAAGGCTTACCCTCAACAGTCACCATTCTATTTGGAGACCTCGAGCAGGGGGGAGGGGGAAAGGAGGGATGGACCATCCCAATCTCCAGCTGCCAAGGCGCCAATACAAGAAGAGACTTCCATCCGTAGACCTTGGCACACGCGCTGGGGCCAAAACGTCCGTGGCACTCGTTTCGGGCGGGGGGGGGGAGGGTGGGGGGTTACGAGCAGAAGAACTCATCAAGACTGGGGTTGTTTTTTGGCACCCATGCCGAATGGAGCAGAACTGGAGGGGGAGGGTGGGCTTGTGATCCCAAACCTGCACAAATGTCAGACTTTGCCTTTTCACCTGGAACTTTTGGCTTTGGACTTTCACTTCAGCGCGACTTGCTTTCAGCGGGCGACGCTTTCGCATTTTCCAGTAATAGAATCCCTTTAACATGAACAAGGGAGAATGCAAATATTCTGGAAGCCAAATAGCAGGGTGGAAACACCTTATCAGTACAAGGCGACGCGCTTGGAGCAAGCACGCCGAAACGGTCATGGAACTGCCAACCCCCGCAATCAGGCCACACCTTGCGCAAACGTGAGCCCCCCCCACACACATAGAACAGGAGGCTGCACCAAATTCAGAAGTCCAAAGCCACAACAACACACTCCCGGCTAGTGATTAACGTCATCCCAATCTTTCTTCCAGCCCACAAGCTGATACTTAAAGCAACGCCCCCTCGGTACACATATTTGCTTTTTCCATCAAAGGACTACCTTGAGAAATGGGAAAACCCAGATTCCCACGTGGACACCCTGTCCCTATACCTGCACTAGCTGACGGGATGAGCATCGATCTCAAATTTCTGGCCGGGCTTTGTGACAAGTTTGGCAAACCTCGATGAGGAATCCTAGACTTCCACCAGGGTCTTCTTAGAACAACCGTAGGTCCAACAAATGACATTTGGCCATGGGTCCAAATCCCAGTTTCCCCCAGTGAACATCCCAATCCCCACTAAAATCGGCCAAAATGGGTCACCTACCCCAAAATGGGATCCCATTGGCTTTGACAACCACAGCCATTTCAACCGTCCAGAGCTCACCCCGCAGATTTCGAGCGAGGAGCCAGTAGGTCTCTCTGCTGTTGACGATGAACTCCTTGGCTCGCGAGAGGTTGGGTTACCCTCCTCCCAAATGGGTACCCTGCCACCAGCAAACATGGTTTGGTGCACAGACCCCTGGAGAAAGACTACTGACTCCTCTTGGTGAGTTGGCCTTTTTGCACTTTCATGTTAGTTGGTGGGAGGGTACTTGTTTTTGCCAAACTGATCTTCCCTAGAAGCTTCACATCCAGTTGGAGAACGGATTTCTATTAGGCGGATATGGGCGTGTCTTGAGTTTGAGGAACCCAGCAAATGGTGGTTTTCCTTTTGGTTCGCCGTAAGACTCAAAGTCCAAAGAAAAAAAACACCCATACTATAAGGATGCCTTCCACTTACGACAGGTCTCAATCCCAAAAGCCTGTTCGGGGTTGCTCGGGTTGAGTACACGCCCACTTTTTTTGGGTGGCTATCACCCCAAAGGGAGCAACACATTCAGTTAGCTGGTGAGTGGCTCTGGCATACTCCACGTAGTCGAAGGGGCAACAACACACCTAGGGTGTAATTCTTTGTCCATTCTTTTTAACCATCGTTCTTTCAAACAAAAAGGGATCCGTTTTCCCTGGGTGTTTGATGGTTTCCTGAAAAACACATATCTCTAGAAAGAATGGACATGGAAGCTTGCCCTGGAACAAAGACAGCAAACTTGAGACCGCTGCAGCGCAAAAAGCTCCGGCAAGTGGGCTCAGATGCGGTTTCTGCTGCAACCCATACGGGCAGAAGCACGCGGAATCGAGCAAACCTCATGTTTCTGGGCTGCGGGTTTTCTGATCCCCTGCTAAAGGTGACTAACTTGTAGTGGGTTAAATGGAAACTACCACTAAACCCAAAGAAGCTAAAAAGCTAAGGGAATGGCTGGGAGCCGCCAAGGTTTGTGGAACTCCTTTCCTTTTAAGCTTGCTCGATCAGGTGGCCTCGTCCATCAAGGCCCTTTATATACGCCTAATATTCCCCATACATACCAACATCTGCCAGTTGAAACCAGGAAGGCCATGATATGTAGCTGTGGCACGTCCCAAGGGGCGCAATCAACATGCCCCTTAAATCCAGCTGGCACTACCCCATTTGCAATGCTGACGGGTATGTAAAACAGGGTCTATAGCACTTCCACACTGATTAGAAGGCTAGGGTCATCATAAAGATCTGAAAAGATACAAACCTTCAACCAATGGATCCTGAAGTACGCACAAGAAACAGGACTCAGCTCGTTTTGCCTCCGCTGAGCTCGCCATTTAGGCAAACATTTCATACAGAAGCATGCCAAATCTGACGATCGGAATCCAAGTTGCCAAATGCCGCCGCTCGACATAGCTGGTGTTCACCATGTTCCGCCTCGCAAAGTGATATCCAGGGGGTGATCCAATTCAACCATGTTTGTGTTTTTGGATCACCAACCGTTTCTCCTGGGTGTTTGATGGCTTCCTGAAAAACAGGATCCCTGGAAAGAATGATCAAACCCCTCCGCTAGAAGATTCCCCCCCCCCCCCCCCTCCGGGGGGGTGACTGGGTGAATCATGTGCCGCGGGGTATGGCATTTCGCTCGTTGGTCAAAGGCGGCCTGTGGTCCACGTGGACCTTTGCAAAAGGGGAAGCGCCACTTGCCGCTTTCCCGCTTTGGCATGAAGCGCGCCTCGCCTTTCAACCCAACTAGGCGTTAACAGAAAGAACCATGACAACCCAAACCAGCAGGCATGCGTATCTTGAAGCTATCAACGGGCAACATGCAAAGCGAGTCCAAGCATGAAACAGAATGTTCATGTGGCTGTGGCTGAAAAATCCGGTACCACAATGGAACTCTGGTAAGTGGAAAGACGGACCAAAACCTGCGTAACCCCTGCTGTTTAATTTTGAGCCACACCCATGCGGAATCTGGCCAAATGACTGTACTTCACGGACACCCTGGGAATCAAACCATTAAAACAAGAGGTGTGCACGTAACCATGGCCTAAGGAATTTCGTGCAACTTGGGGTCCCAAGGCCAGAGGCCATGCTTTGGAATTGTGGCAAGGAGGAAATGGGTGTGGCTCAAAGTGAAACAGCTGCGGATATGCAGGTTTAGCCTTTGTCTCCATATACCAAGGTGCCATTTTGGTGTATATTTTTGAGTCACGGCGAAATAAGAAGTGACCCCTCCCCAGCCAGGGACCATCATGGCTCGCTGGTTTTACCGCCCGAAGCGGTGGACAAGCCGCGGGTCCCAAAAATCGGGAAGGGCTTCTAACGCCTTTTGAGCTTCGGTACCCATCATTGGGGCTTCAATCCACACTTGGGGTGGCATGACTCATTCTGAGATGAACCCCTTTGACATAGATTGAGAGCATGGGGTGCCCGCCAAGATGAGTCAAATCCCATTGCCATGTTTCTGATTGAGACCCCCCCCAAAAAAAAAGAGCAATGCTGCCAACATTTTCACAATGACTCAGTGATCAGCGAGTATGAGGCGCCAAGAACCAAGGGCTAACCTCTAATGCCCTCCTGGTAGCTGTCTTTGCGTAGAACAACAATGCGCCCTGTTCACGTGCGCCGGTTCGGAACCCCTTGCAAGATGGGAGGAAACCAAGGGAATGCCCCATTTTAGGGAGGAGCTAAGAGGCCGGGGCCAGCCCTCAAACAGGTCGATTTAGGTCTATGCTACCATCATCACTGAACAATGTAAGTTGTTGGTAGACGGCGGCCCAGCTAAGAACAAACCCATCTAAACCAGGGAGACACCAACTATTCTAGGGGACCGACGAGAACCCCTCGAGCCATTCATTGCTTAAAACAGGAAACTCTAAAAATGGTGGTTAACCTTGTGAAAAAATATTCACCTGACGAGTCAGCTTCCCTCCAACAGCATGGAGCGCAGCGGTTCGGAAGCTGGGAGGACAAGAGCCAGGGCTTCAGATCCCAAGCCCAAAATCCAAACCGAAAGAAGCCGAAGCTTTTGGGGCCACGAAGCTTTTGGGACATCCCACAGGTCAGGTCGATTCGCTTGGGGCAAGTGAGCCTCAGGGTTTTGCTGAGGCTACCCGAACCAAACCAAACTTCGAACCGCTTGAGTCGAAGTCTCAGGCTACGTTTGCTTGGATTTGGGAATCGAACGGTGTTTGGCTGTTGTGGCGCCGAACCACCGATTTGGCTCCAAACTGCCTAATTGTTGAGGGAAGCTGGACGTGAGCGAATCGGCCAAAGTCTGTTGTGGCAATGCCCATCTATATGCCATATAGGTGGTCAAAATGTGGACTATCCTCATATCCCTTGCTAAAGTTTCACTTTAGCCAAGCGCCTGGAACCGGATGGCTGGTTCCGACCAAGAGGGGCCCTGTTTTCCGGTGAGAGTCTCGAGTCGAGCTCCGAGATCCGGGTTCCCTCGGCCGAGTCGAGTGGCCAGAAGCCCACCAGCTGCAGCGCGCGCAGGGGCGCGGTCACGGGGCCGAAGCTCAGCAGCCCTGCGCCTTCCAGCCTGCCAGCGAGGGGGAGGGGTCGGGGGGTTGGTGGGTGGTGGGGGTTTGGGTGGGGGGTGGGGGGGGGGGGTGGGGTTGGGGTGGGTGGGGTTGGTGGGTGGGGGCTGAAAGGAGGCCTGGGAAAAAGAATGGCCAAAGTTATGACTTGTGGTTCTTCGTTTGGGATGCTGTGGAAACATAACTCTCAATTTGGTTGAGCAAAAAACGAAAGGTGTTGAAACAGGCTGTCCAAAAGGGGTTGGACAAATGATGGACAATAAGCTCGTTGGTGAGATGTCCCCAACAGCATGCCCGGTGGTACAACCGACTGTGCTTGGTCCAGATTTGGCTTACACACCCAGCAAAGCCAGCGGTGCAGCAACTGGACTGGGGCCTTGACCGCGGCTGAGTAATTCTTCTCTTACGGAGACATCTGGTGGCACGGAACCCCAACCATATAAAGAGCGTAAGGTTGACACATATTTTTGGTCACGCCCTGGTTGATCAAAAAGCAGGGGGAGGGTGTTCCCCTTTTAGTGGGGATTCAAACCACTTTTGGAGGGAACCCTCTCTCATGAAGCAACCAGGCGATTATTCATCTGGGACTCCCATTAATGGGATTGCCTCAAAGACCTCTCCCAGGTCAGGTTGCAACACTTTGGCTTCTACACTGTGAAAACTTCTTGCTGGTGCTCAGCAGGAATGAGGGTACAAAATTCCCAAAAAGGCAACGGGATGAGCACTCCTATTTTGCCACGCTCAAGCCGGCAGCGGTCATGGTCGAATGACGCACATGCTTGGGGGAAATGCCTCACTGTTTCATAGAGGGAGTGACCGCTATAAACCGTTTGTGGTTTCCTCTAAGGGGACCCCTGGCCTGGGTTCATTTCCTCATTCCGCTGAGCACCAGCCTGCCTGGGGTGTGTTGTGAACTCTGCCCACGTGAGCGGAATGAAAGCTGCAAAATTGGCCGCACATGCAAAGGTGTGCTGCATCAGCCTGGTCGAATAAAGGGTTTTAAAAACACATATGATAAGTTATTCTTTTAAATTGGCTTACTTTTCGCAAAATGAAGCATTGGTGTTTTTTGGGCACAAGGAGTGTTCTCTTGAAAGAAGGGGAAAGGGCCCAAAACGGCATATTGGCCGCTTTGGGCAGGTGAGAAAACATAGAGGGGGTGTTCCAAGTGATGAATCCCCACGAAAAGGGAAAACCCCCCGCATTAATCAACCAGGGGGGGTTTGCTTACTCCAGGGTGCCCAATGTCTTGCTTGACAACTTGATTTCAACCAACAAGTCAAGTCAAAGTCGAAAGATCCACTACCGAAAAGCCATAAAGATTCGCGTCGCCTAAAAAAACAAATGGACGCGGAAAAAGAGGAACAGCACCTCCCCCCCCCCAAAAAAAAGAAAAACACCCAAAGGAAACATGAACAAACTCTCGGAAAACCCAAACAACTTGGCAAAAGTGAAAGTCCTCACATCCCTTGGCAAAATGCACCGAAGATCTGCAAGATCCACTACCTAATAGGCAAAACAAGAAGAACAAACACAGCGCCCCCCCCCCCCAAAAAAAAAAGAAGAAGAAGAAACAAGTGCCCAACGGACACATGAACAAAAACTGCAGGCGAGCGGCTTCACCCACTCCTTGCCGTTCCACTCGAACCAGCCCCGTCTCAGCGAGGGAGACAGCACGTGCACATTCTCCGGCGCCCCGATGCAGGCGGGGCCCGACTGACGGGAAGGCGAAGTTTGAACTTTTGCGACCCGGATTGTCTCTTCCATTTGCTGAAGCCCCATGAGGCAATCCAGTTTTTGAGAAAACTGCACCATGAGGCTGCCCTTTTTCGGCAAATCAGAGCAGCCAGCCATGGGTCCTAGCATGGAATCCCATGGTGCATGATCCCACACATCCATTTGCTGAAGCCCCGAAAAAATGAGAAAATGTGTCCAGTAGTGATGGATTCTCTTTAAAATCAACAGGGGAAAACATATTCCTAACCAAATGGAACTTTTTAACCAGATGGAATTTTGGTTGTCTCAAGTTTCCCCCTTCCACAGTAAGGGACCCTTGGTTGTTTCTTGGTTGACGTTGGAAGGGGAGCAAATATTTATTTTTTGGCAGTTAAGTGGGCATTTAACCGGGAAACAAACGCCCCAAAGGAAGCGACAAAACCACGTCAGCTCAAAACAGGGACACGAAAAAAACACATCCAAGGACAAGAAACAACCCTAAAGATTGTCTCAAGTTTCCCCCTGCTAAATTCGCCCCAGAGGAAACTCATCCAAAACCGGCATTTCCGAGAGGGAATGTCTAATTCCCTCAACTAGATCCAACCGGGAATTGGTTGTCCCAAGCTTCCCCCTTCAACAGTAAGGGCCCCTTGGTTGTTAGGCCCCCCACCCCCCCAACATTGAGGGGAATCGGCCCGCCTGGAATGGGGGGAATCGGCCCTCAACCAGATCCAACCGGGCTCCTGGTAAATTTCCTCAACATCGCCCCGGAAACTCATCTAAAACCGGCATTTCCGAAAGGCAATGGTTCCCTTTCTTGCCCAAAAAAGCCCAAGAGGTTCACCTTTTCGGACCTTCACGACCAAGGGTTCAGATCCGGTCGATTCGCTTCGGTTGCCTTGGTGAGGTAAATGGTCCTTTCAGGGGGAAATAGATCCAGACTGCCGTCTAACTGCACAATCCACTCCCCTTGCGTTTAGGTCCACAAAACCTCCGAAAAGGCCGTGCAGAAACACTTCGGGCGGACCCTTGGATACGTGTGTCTATTTGAGTTGGTACTTGGTACCCCTTTTGGTTTGTGGTGTTCAAGGAAAGTGTAAAGGAACACCGTTGTGCCATTTTGGGGGCTCCGATTCCTAGAGCATGACACACTCCCTTTGGGGCATCGAGCCGGCTCTTCAGAACAAAAGGCACTGGAAGTCTGAGCGGCCAACATCAGTGTTGGGATCAGGCGTGGCATGCCCACACACACAGATTCCTGCCCGTGCAAGTGTCAAAACCCGTTTGCTTCTTTTTGGTTTAAAGAGGTAACAGGGTGTTGAAGATCCTGGGTCTGGATAGTGTAAACCGCCCATCTTTGTTTGCTTGTCCATTTGGGGAAGAGATGGGTGCTGCTTGTCCACGCGAGGGTACACACCAACTGGTCACCCCGGAAACTGGTGGTTTGGACCTTTGAGACCCGTGCCCATTTGGCCATGGGTCAAAGTCCCGGTTTCCCCCTGTGAACATCAACCAATCCAACCACTAAAACAGGTTCTAAACTGGGTGGTGAATTCACCTACGAAAGTGGTATCCTGAAACGGTTTTGACCGGCCATTTGGTTCAAACAAATCCAGATCCCAAGCCACCGAGTCGGCTCCAAACCAAGGGCTGCAACTTGGATTCCGAAGTTCGGGGACTGCCAGAGTTCAGGCGCCGAAATTCTCCGCTATGGACTCCCAGCGAGCCAATCTGAAAGCTTCGCCAATCCCAAAAATGCCTCTGTGTGTGCGTGTTCGGGCCATGTTTGTGGGTTCAGGTTCAAGGGTCACCACCCATTTTGGGGACCCGGTCCCCCCCCCAGTTTGACACATACCCAGCCGAAAAAGGAAAACCATCTGGGGGTCAAGAAAGTTGCTCAAACCCTTCCGTCCCTTCAGAAACCCAGAGAAATGGGTTGCTGAAAAGAAAGGTTCCGATGCAAAAGCAAGACTCATGGGTTGCTGACAAGAATTCGGTTCCGATGCAAAAGCAAAACTCACTTCTCAGAAAACGCAACCAGACTTTTGATTCACCACTGAGCTTCCAACAAACTAAAGCTGGACCCGCCTCGAACTACCCTTAAAACAATCACATCGCCCCAGAATTATGGGCGAAACCGCGTCTTTCTTTGGTTCGAGGGTCCAGGCAGTTGTCTTCCTGTTCTTTGGCTCCGCCCCGTCAACTGGCAACTCGCCTGCCCAGAGATGCGGCCCACGTCCACAGCGCGGCAGCCTTTCCATCTCCTCTCCTGTCCGGGAAAATCGCCTGGACCCAACGGGCTTCCATGTCTCCTGTGGATGGTTGCGAAAGTCATTTCGCAGGGTTCAGAAACTCTGGTTTCTGATGATTCCCCAATGTAAGTACCAACAAACGGTCGGATTTCCACCATGATTGCAAAGTGGTGCGAAGTGGATTTCGGCACCTCTTCTGCGAGTTTTTAAACTCGCTCTCTGAGTGAGGGCCCCCCCGAAAAGTAATCCAACTTTCGGGTTGCCGTAAAAATGGCCTTTCGATATGTATATATATATATATATTTACATTTCTATGTGTGTGGGTATGGGTCAAAATCAAACGACCAGGAAACCGCAGGTCTTAGTCCTTGCTTCCATTTACCAAAATTCCATTTTGGGTACCATTTTTTGACCCGCAGCCATATAGAGTTCGGAAGCTCAGGGAGTGAGATCTGGCGACAAGGCTCACACTGTTGACCAAGCCGCGCGTTTCATACCACTGACGGACGAAATCCACTTCGCGCCACTTTGAAACCATGGGACACCAGCGTTTGTTGGTATATACCGGGGAATCCTCATTCCATCCACTGGATGAAGCGCTAGCAAACTTGAAACAGCTGAGAAGAGCCGCTAGACGTGGCACCTTTTGTGGATTGTTTGTTGACTTGGCGTGCGTTAGCTTTCCGGGCAAAAAACAACAAGCCCCAAGCCAGAAAAAGGGACCCCCTTGTCTTGCTGGTGCTCAGTAGGGAATGAGGACATGAACCTCGGGGTCCCCCTAAAGGGAAACCACCAGTAGGATGGCTTTTGTCGGGGTCAGTCCATTTCTCATTCAATACATCTCTCGCACCAATCGCAAGTTGTTTCTGGGCTGTCCTCGGATCCCTCGCTAAAAGTGACTAACTTTTAGTGGCTTAAATGCAAATCCAACCACTAAACCGCTAAAAGGATCCAAAAAGCTAAGGGGATGAATCCCCACTGAACACTAAAAGGATTCAAAAAGCAAAGTTGAACCGGATGGCTGGGAGCCACCAAGAGAACTGAGACATACCCACAACTCAATCGCCCCTGAACAAAGCCAGAAAAATAGAGGGAGAGTCAGCCTTTTGGGAGCTTGGTTCAGCGTTTCATGGCGCTCGCCCTGAGTGATCAACCCTTACTCCCCTTCTTAAGCCCCTGGAAAACAAAACATGTCCAGTAGTGATCGATTCCCTTTGAAAAGCTAAGAGGGGAAATATAAGACATATTTCGAAGCAAATGGAAGTTTATATAATCTCCAAGCTTTCCATTGATCCCCTAATCGCCCTTCTGTGGGGGTTCAGGCATGATTCGTGAGGAAATGTCACACCTTGTCCGGAAACTGGGCTGACCTGCTTCCATTTGCTTCTTCGGTGCCTGGGAAAAAGGCAAACAGATCTGCAGCCAAATCGATTCCCTTTGACACCAACAGCCTGGATCGCCAGTGGCGATCGCTTTTTTCCATCTACTTTCCTTGAAAAACCCAGCAACCGTGACTGAAAATCACAGCAACTTGGCGATCTAGCAGGAAGACATGAAACAACACATATTCATGTTTCCGCAGATTTGCGGGAGTACTTGGCCATATGTGTGGTTTTTCTGCGCCTTCTAGGAACACATGGCCATCTAATGGCAGCCGCCCCCCTTCTTGCGCCTTGCTGCTCCAGTAGAGCAGGTGATTGTTGTCGTGGGACCAGTAGGTCTCACGGCCGTTGATGGCGTGCTCGGGTGACCGGCGCTCCGTGTAGCGCGTGTTCCTCGAGCATCGCGGCGGTGCTGTGGTGGGGGAAAAACCTTGCTAGCAATGGGGGAACGACTTCGAAATGAACCCTGCTCACTTCTACATTGGCCAAACAGTCTGAACTTTTTGTTTACCACCAAAATGATATTCCCCCAAAAAAATATGTTCATGAACTCAAGAACTGAACCGTTCCTTGTGGTGTCCTAGGGGGTTCTTAGAAATAACATGGTTAACGTTTTCAACCCTGCATTACACAATCAGCTTTGATATACTTCACGTTTGGGATCAGTCGAGACACGGTGGTCATTTCGACACTTAGAGGGACAATTTTGGGCACCCCTAAAAGCTGGAGGTTGTTCCGATTCTTGGTAGTCCAAGGAAAACATGGGAAAACATACATCATACAACATGTACCAGTTGTGATCATTTCCGTCAGTGAGGAAGTTTTGGTGAACAACACTCATCCGAAGCGAAAAAGCCGGACAAGGAAAACAAGGCGAAGTGCATGTTCCAGTAGGAAGTCAGTCAGAAACTGGCCTGAACAAATCCGCAACATTATTTTTCGGGGCGGTATATCCAGAAAAACCCAAAGGGAACTGATTCTTAGCCATCTGAAAAGCTAGGTCCTCCAGTAGAGAGGTTAGAATAAGGGCACATAGCTGGGGGACCTAGAAAAGGAACATTTTGGACGGGAAGGGTAAGTCAGGTTGCTTGGTAACGGTTGTACCTCACTTAGTCCTGACCTTCGCAGGTAAACTGCTAACCTCTTCGGGCAGTATGGCACAAAGCTGATGACAATTTGAGGAAACCTCTTCTAGCGGAAGCCAAATGCGTGAAGTGGCCATGTCGATTGCGATATACCGATCCATCCATCGCCCTTTTCAGCTCTCGAATCGTTTTTCCATTGCATTCGAGTGAAAATCACGACCGATCGGTACGGTTGACCCAGGATTCATGAACCCGTCCCATTATTAGGGGGGTGTTCCCGCCAAAGTGAGGAATCCCCACTAAAAGGGGATACCCCCCGATCAAAACCAACCAGGGGTTCTACTTAGATCCGGGGCTATTAATATACCATTATAAGAAATGGTCTGCTGCAAGACCCGTGCTTCAAGGCGGGGAGCCCCAGCCATAAATTGGCAGGGGAATGATATCCTTAAGCTTGAGGGGGCGGGATTCTATTGTGGCTCATTTGCTTTTAGTGGTCTGGTTGTTTGGAGCCGACCAAGTGGCGGTGGTGCGGAGGTGCTCCCGGAGTGGGAAACTCCACCAAATCCAAATGCACCAATCAAGGGTAACCACAGGCTTCTCTTTCGCTGCCTCAACATCACCAATCCCAACCAGGAAACCCACCCCACAAAAACGCCAGAAAGGCGATGTTTGAAGAACCTGGGCTTGTCCTTTTCTTTCAAAGGCAGCCGCAACAATGCCGGGTTTTCCACTTGACCACCGGAATCTTTATATATATTTTTTGGGGGGACACCCTCAAAAACGGACACACCTCAGGACCTCGGCGAGGCGCATGGCGGCCATGAACTTGAAGCCGCCCAAAGTGATGATCCGCAACGGGGCCTCGCGTTGCCGACACCGAGTTGCGAGTGGGGGGATTCGACGGGCAGGGTGGCCCATAACAGGGAATCGCGTGGGGTAGCCTGGGCACAAGGGGCTATAAAGCAAAAGGTCTGGTGCCCGGAACCTGCGTCACAACCATTTCGGTGTGGGTCAATGATAGGTACCCCAAATGGTACCCTGTAAATGGAAACAAGGACTAACACCTGCAGTCCCATGGTGGTTTAATTTTGAATCATACCCATTTTTGCAGAGTAAAAACCCAAACAGCCATGGCCTATGAATAGACCTTGATGGATAAACCCCACCATTTGTAGATGGTTGTTTCAGGTTCCAGCCGTGGATGAACCAAGGGGTTTGGTAAGAGCCGCTTGAGGGATCCTCAGCCGGCTGAAGGTTAAGCTAGAACAGAGTTGGTCAAATTGGGCTTGGCAATTTCATGATGGCTGGGGCGGAGGGAGGGGGAGGGGGAGGGAGCCCAAATAAGCCCTTATTAAGCCCTTAATAAGGCCTTATTTAGGGCTTATTTGGGCTCCCTCCCTCCCCCTCCCTCCCCCCCAGCCCTCATGATAATTTGCAGGGTGTCAACTGGCAGGGTTTGGCAAAGACCCGCCAAAAGAGATTCTGATGGGGTGCTAACTTCCCAAGGAGTGCCCTGACCATGGAACAAACTTGCTGCGCAGTCAGTTCACACCAAATCATAAAAAGGTCCTCAGAGATGAAAATGGGGCAGACCCCGACTCTTTGACAAGGATAAAGAAGGCTAACTATATGTCCCCCTTAAACATCACCCCACCAAAATAGGACAATATCCAAAAAATAGCCCCAAAAGGAAATGTTGAGAAAAACCAAAAGGGGAATATAAGGAACCCGGACAAATCAACTACCCAATTGGTACACAAAGGATTTTGTCCATCAGCAATTTTTGGTTTGCTAGTCCCTGGTCAGCTCGCCAATTGCGCGAACACTGTGGGTGCCCCAAATATTGCGATCCAACCACTCCCCACCGCACGAAACCAATTGCAGTGAATTACCGCATTTCCCTGCTTCCCTTGAAATTTGCAGGGCATCCACAGGTTGGTTGTTGGGAGAAAGGAATCTCAACATGCCGGGGTCCACCTAGATTTGTGTGCGGATGAGTCGGGTGCCGGCCGTCGTCCCGTCGTCCCGCCTCCGCCTCCTGTCGCTTTATCCACTCCTTGCCCCAATTGGCCACCTCGACTTAGCGAAGCGATTTCAACATCCGCGGGCCCAAGGGCAAAGAACTGCGCGCATGAGGCAAGATTCTGAAACCTAGTATCAAAATTGTTTGTCCAAAACTAGCCAACCCTTGGTATGGTGTGTTCTGCAGCCCCCTCACTAAAAAAGAAGAACCAAACAACTTTAAAGAACGCCGACAACAGTGAAGCAAACCATTTTAACAATGAAAAACCCAACGCCCCCAACGCATTGTGGCTAGGGCCAGATAGTCAGATATGGCGAGCGGTGGGTCAACGCGCTTCCGAAGTTGGGACTCCAATCGGAAACTCCAAAATGGGCACCTCTCAAAATTGGGCGATCCTCTGCCCGATGGTAAGATGAAATCTGAAGAACCCACTTGATGGACTTGGCCTCAAAAGATTTATGGGAAACGGCCCGTCTGTTTCTGGAGTTACCGGTTTCTGGTATGTAAAGGGGAACCAAAGTTCTGGGCTACCGTGGTCGAGTTTCAAGTGCTGCCCCGCGGAAAACCTAGGGGTCGCAGAAGGGCGTGTCTTGGACGCGCTCCGGGAGATACTCCCCGGCGGACCAAGCGAAGGAACCCAAGAACCCGAGCTTCCTCTGCAAGTGGTTTTCAGGCTCCAGGAACAAGGGTGTACTCTTACATGGAATTTCACTGTTCAAAAAACCGTCGAAACAAGGGATTCACTGGGTGTGTGATCTGTTGGACCGTGCGATCAATAGCTGGGTGCCTGTGATCAGTTGGACCTGAGTGTGATCCAAAACAACCATATCTTTCTAACTTCCCAAAGGCTCCCGATTGATTTAGGGCCTTCAAACAACCTGGTTTTGAGACCCCCAACCGCCTCCGGGGTGTCTAATGGAGGGGTCGGGCCTTCCATTGAAAGCCCCAGGAGCCTCTGGGTTACCCAGATTTTTCCCCGAAGGGCAACCCAAAGAGGGAGGGGGCAACTTTGGCCTTTTCGAGACCCACCACCAAGAACCATCATGATATCCCCTTGGACCGGCAAAATTGACGGCTTCTTACAAAATCGACATGGAATCCAAATCCTCCTTCTTCCAGTTGCGTTGTTTAAAGACCAGACATTTTCCAGGGGGTTCATAAAGGAGTTTTTCAGACCGATCTTTCAGGACCGAGTGGCTTTGTCCTCTGGATCCAACTTCAGAGATCGCTGGAAGTCCTCCAAAGCGTCTCCTCAACGCCGGAAGCGTTGGGTTCCGGGCTCCCTCGATGGGATGGGATTGTGTTTGAGGATCGGTGCGTGTTTCTCAGTGGCTGAACAAGGGAAACCATCATCTGGGGTCTCCCCGTGCAAGGACACATACGCAAAAGGCCAGACATGCGATGTTACTGAGTGACAAATTGGGAACACCCGGCCTTCCAAGGTACATACCTCCTTGTTTCGTGGGTAAATATCATACCCAACGAGATGATTGAAACCACCAAGCAGGGAAATGCCCGGACTCCCGGAAAAAACTGGCGGGTTCAATGTTGATTCAACTCTGGGAACGTGAAAGCAGCGAATCACCTTGGCCCTAGTTGATGGCTTGGAGCCCGTTGGTTTAGACGATAGAGAAACCTTCCCCGTGCAAAAGAACTGGGGCTCAACTCCCAAAACTACCGCGCTCCAAACCACAAAGAAAGGGGCACCTGAGAAGCACTGACAGCATTTCAAGCCTCGGCCTGGCAAAACTTCGAACGATTCATCCCCTTTTAATTCTTTTTTTGTACCGCATTCTCTGAGGGCCATGCTTCTCCTGCGAACGAGACCCCCGCCCCTGGCCGCCTCACCAAGCCAAAAACCCTTGTGGATTTTAGGGCATGGCTGTTCGTTGGGAAACCTGACGCTTCAAACTGAACGGGTTGTAAAAAGTTACCACAGGGAGAACTGGCTTGTGGCAGCCAAGCGTTCATAGCGACGTTGCTTTTTGATCCTTCGATGTCGGCTCTTCCTATCATTGAGACGCAGAAGTCCCAAAGTGTCGGATTGTTCACCCGCCAATAGGGAACGTGAGCTGGGTTTAGACCGTCGTGAGACAGGTTAGTTTTACCCTACTGATGAATTTGATGCTGCGACAGTAATCGAAGTCAGTACGAGAGGAACACTTCGTTCAGACACTTGGTTAATGTGGCTAGCTGAAAAGCAAATACCGACGAGCGGCTCAGAACCTGTTCCGAGGCCTTTTTTGAAGTGGACGAAATCCGCTTCGCACCAAGGCCACTGCCACTGGAGAACCAGCAAGGCCCCCCCCACCACCGGTGCCCCTTGGGGCTGCTGCAGCCATCATAGGATATCATAGGATTCCACCCCCCAGCCGTACGCCAGCCAGAGCCGCCCCCGGAATCCAACCAAATTCAGGTCCTAACGTCCGGCCGCGCCGTGGCTTTTACGCTGGAAGCCTGGGGGGGCGTAGATCCTATGGAAAAAAGGCCAACAGTCCTTATTCCAAGACCTACCCTTCCTAACAAACAACTCCCACCCAAAACCGACCTCAAAACCGACCGCAAACCTTCAACAGGCCAAGGGTTTGGGTCCTGTGACCTCCATTTGCTTAAGTCCCCTGGGGAAAAATCCAGTGGTGATAGATTCCTTTAAACCCAACAGGGAAAAAACAAAAAATGCTCTTAACCAAATGGAAGATGACCCTGATCCTTTCACCCGCAAACTCAACTTGGGGTTTCCCACCAAAGACAAAGGAACCCCAGCCTCGGGCCTTCTTAGTGGCTAACTCCTGCTGGGATTTTGGGCCCATGGAATCGGCAATCGGCCCTTGGAGCAGGGAAGGCCTAAGGGTCTGTAGCACGACCCCGGCTCCTAGGGTTGTCAAGGCCTCCAAAAAGGGGACTTGAGAGCCCTCAAGAAAGAACCCTATCAGCTTCTATTCGTCGCTATTGGCCCCTATTGAGGATTTGGGGCATTGCCCCTTGAAAAAAACGCTGGAAGTCCGAAGGCTAGGCCAAGGCTCTGTACCAGCCAAGCTCCGACTTCACCACGCCCCTGCTGCTGTAGTACGTCGCCATGGGCTCGGTCTTCACAGCCGCGGAGTAGTCGGCTAAGGCCTGAAAAAGGGGACAAGGGCGCAACTGGGCGCCGTTTTGGTGGGTACTTGCCTTCATTTGGTTAAGTTTTCTTTGCTGGTCTTAAATGGAATTGAGTTCACTACTGGAAATAGAATCTATCACTACTGGATTGTTTTTCCTGGGGACTTAGGGTACTTGGGCATCAATCAAAAGAGGGGGACCCCAAATTGTCTCTCTAAACCACCCCCGGAAAAAAAAGGCACCCTCAAAAAGGCACACCCGCTGGATCTGAAAGGGTAACCCCCTCCAAGAAAAGAACATGTAAACCCACGGCACCCCCTCAAGAGTCTCCCCAGGCAATGGTCAAGCAAATGAAACCCAAGCAGAATGATGCAAAAAGATGCAACACTTATGTATATACACAAACCATTAATACATATATTTACTAACGCAAGGCAAGGAACACAACTAGGGTACTAGTACATACACCTACATACCAAAACAACTCACTTCCTGCGAGCATTGCCGAAACAGAGATGGCGAATTGACGAGTTATGCAGATCTCGTCTTGTCGGTTCTTCTGTGTGCTGATCTCACCTTATCTGATTCGATCTTAACTTATCTCATTTTATCTGTTTGTAAACCATTTCAACAAGCATTGGTACAACTCGCTCGCTGAGTTCTTGGACATGCTTTTTGCAAGACGATTTGAGTGGTCTGCCCAGAGGGGTTCTCCTTTTGGGGGGAGTGCGCCATTTCCATAAGTGGAACCCCCGGGTCCAACAGTGGAATCCTTGGACTGTACCCTTAGTCCAAAAGTGGAACCCCCGGGTCTGCCCCAGTCCTCCCCGGCTAAGCGCCTGGGTTTCGGCGCCTTCCATTTGCGTTTTTGCACCCGGGACAAAAGAGAAAATATGTCCAGTAGTGAAATCGATTCCCTTTAAGACCAACAGGGGAAAATAACCAACATACTCTTTTCAGCAAATGGAAACTCTTATCCAAATCGAAGGCTCTTAACCAAATTGACCCCAAACAGCAAAAAGCATGACAGGTTTGTATAACCCAAAAAAGGCTTGTCTCGTTCATGTAAGGTGCAAAATTTCAGTAGCTTATGTGAGCAACACATAGTTACAATCAGTCTATGTATGTCCCTGTAGGAAGTCCCCTTTTTTGGGAAGAGGACACATCGGGTCCATCCATCTCCTTGACGCCGGGTAAAAGCATCGATGTTGTTCATCGACTTCGAGGAGAAAAATGCCATGTCAATGCCATGTTCGAGAGTGAAGGCCCCAGGGATTCGGGGTGAATCCGTAGTACCACAGCATCTGGCCTCCAGACACAGGGAGACAAGCGGGAGACATGACCCCGGAGCCAGCAGCACATCCGACGACCGGAGAGACTGGGAGACACATGGAGATCAGACTGGGAGACACAGAAAAACAAGTGGGAGACACGACCCCGAAGCTGTTGTCACAGCATCTGGCATCTGACCGCAGAGACTGGGAGACACAGGGAGACAAGCGGGAGACGACCCCGGAGCCGGTGGCCGACCGCAGAAACTGCAAGCGGGAGACGCGACCCCGGAGCCAGCGTCACAGTATCGCAGAGACTGCGAGACACAGAGACACGCGGGAGACACGACCCCGGAGCCAGCGTCACAGCATCTGGCATCTGACCGCAGAGACTGGTAGACACAGGGAGACGAGAAGGAAACACACGAGAGACACAGGGAGAAAAGCGGGAGACACGACCCTGGAGTCAGCGTTACAGCATCCGGCATCTGACCGGAGAGACCGGGAGACAGGAAGACAAGCGGAAAACAGGACCCCGGAACCGGCGTCACACTTTCCCATTCTCTATACCTCAAGTTAGAACCCCAATGCTTCGCTGTTTGGGGAATAAAAAACAAAAATAATAATTGGAAGCTTGGGTAATCAAAAGAGGGGGACCCCACATTGTCCCTTTCAAGCACCCCCCACAAAAAGGTACCCTTCCAAAGGCGCCGCTGGCTTCGGCGCCGATTCTTCACCTTTGGTCGATCGCGTTCGGCGCTCGGCGCTGGATCGAGTCGCCTGCTCCCGGAGCAGCAGCGCGCGCTTGGCGGAGCCCCGGGCCGCGAAGGCGCGGGCGCAGGGCTTCAGCATCAGCGCGCGGTCCAGGACCTGCAAGGAGTCGAGCGGATGCTGGGACCGGGGGTGGGGTTGGGGTGGGGGGGGCTGGGGGGGGCTGGGGGGGAGGGGGGGTTGGGGTTGTCGTGGGGCTGGCGGGTTGGGTTGAGGGGGGCGCGGGCTTCGACCCAGAAAGTTGGACCCAGCCGATATGGCCCTAATATGGCTTTTCTGGATGATATCAGGTGGGTCCGACTTGCTGGGCCCGAGTTTTGTCCCATCCGCCTGGATGGCATCTTTGTACTGGCCCGCTTTCCGATGCGCGTCGCCTTTCTGAAGGAAATGCTCCAAGTCAGATTCCTGAGAGCCAAAGAGGGCGAAGCATCCAAGTGCCGGGTAGGCGATTTGTCAGAAGCATCTGCAATTCTTACCTTATTTCCAGCACCAAGCAAAAGGGATGCAAACACGAAATGGAAAAGACCTACATTTTGGCGTCCCACTGGTGCTGTGTTGTTACCTGCATCTTGGGCGGTGGTTTGAAGGTAAGCTCTCAAGCGGGTCAATCAACTATCACTGGAGTCTTCCAACCACAAAGAGACAACGGCTGACTACAAATCTGGGTGACCCATAAAATGCGCCCAGATATGCACATGATTGTCCGCCAAGTGCGACCTCTCCCCCGGGATGGGGATGCCAGGGATCAATTCCTCCCTTCTCCTTGGCGATTTTCCGGCTCGTCTTCTCCTTCCCCGTCTTCTCTCTTCCCGACCTGAAATACCAAAGCGGAAAGTTCTGCGCTGACCGGGCAAGGAGCTATTTCTACCTGGATGGTAGCTGAATATCTATCCTAGGTCCGCCAGTAGAGCGGTTAGAATAAGGGTACCCTTTTGTTTTTCTGTTGTCCATTTTGGTAGGGGAACCCTCCCCCAAAAAAGGACCTGGTATCTAACACTTTTGTCATGTTGGAAAAGCCAAAAGCCAGCGGGTTTCTCAGGATCCGCCAAAGCATAGAACAATCACCTGTTTGAGGGGATCCTCCCAGCCAGCCCGCCAAAGCGGATCTCGGAAAACCTGCCAGGGGTTCTTGTATGATGCCCTGGGATTGCATGGAAACAAGGCTTGTTTGGCAGGGATGTGTGCCAGTGTCTCGCAAAACACAACATGGTTCTGCAGGTTTTCTCCAGCTTCTTGGGAGGTTGTGGGGCAGGAAGCACCGGCTTGCGGGCCGGAAGGGCGAAGGGTGCCCTTGTGTGGTGTTGGAACAAAGGCCAAGAGGAACACCACCTACCTCCACCACCAACTCAGATGCGTGGATTCCCATGGCAAAAACAAATATGCATTCGATTCCTTTGGCTGCGTGACTTCAGACGTCTACTGGGCATCTTCTAATTCTCTCACCGACCCAGTGGATTGCCCAGCCCTTCTTCTCCCCATGCCCAGAGTTCCAGTCCCGCAGCTTACCCAGGAAAAAACGGTTCAAAAAGGTCCATACAAACGGCTAAAACGGCCACCAAACCCAAAAAAACATGTCCATAAACTCAGGACGTGAGTTCCATTCCGCAACTTTCCAACCCAAACTGACGGTTTCTTGCAGCCCCCTGGGGTTTGCGCACTCGATTTCTTACAGCATGTTTCTTCCAGCGGCGGGTTCCTTGAGGGGCCCGGGGAGCAACAACCAAAAACCGCTCGCTGAACCTCATGTACAACGCCTTGGAAGACGTTTATGTGAATGCCCTCAACAAGGCAACATATCCATTCCCGAAATTTCAGAAATATATGCAAATGCAAACATAACTATGCGAGTATACCAGGGCCAACGTTTTCACGAGTGCTCAAAAGCTGAATATATATATATATATATACAAACATGTATTCGTCAAAGAAAGGGTGACATTGTATAGATCTTGCTGGTTCTCCTAAGTAAATCAGGATCTATCGTGCATGCCCCTCCCCTCCCTCCCTACATGCCTCGGCTTCTTGGCCGGCGGCGCGCTCATGTCGCAAGTCTGAGAAAAAACAAACACTGGACACAGCCTCTGGAGTTGCTTGTTTCTTTCCTTTTTTTGGGGGGGGGGGGTGTAACTTGGAATGTCTTCTGGGTGTCGTTTCGGTTGAGTTGGTTGGGGTACTTGGTGCCTGGCATGTGCGCAAACAATCACCCAACTGCAAACAAAGCCATGCTCAAATGGATGACAACGGGAGCCATAAAGGGACTCCTGACAACATGCGATGTTGCTCACCAGCATGAGGCAGGGCAAACCAGACTGAACCAGTATTAAGCAATATTGCTGAAGAACAGCAAGCTACTGCAAGTGCGGAGTTGCGGAATCATTGTCCATCCATGCATTGAATTGCAACAGCAAAACTGGCACTCACTGGGATGCACGTCATACCTTTTGCATCTGTGTGGCAATCTCATTGGCATGAACATGGCCCACGTCGGTTTCATGTTTGGCCTGCGTCTAAAATATGACATAGCTTCGGAGGAGACCGCAGTTCGTTGCTTCAAGCGTTTCTGCAATGCTCCGGGCAAGCTGCGCCGTCAAAGCCCGGCTTACTGTGAGACCAGATCCGCGCTTTCACATTGGCCCATGTACATGTCTGGCAGCCAATGGCGGCCGGCGGCCGGCACAACTGGTCTGCCCTTTTACCCTTTTTCGAGAGAAAAATCCCCTACTAAAATAGATTAAAGAAAAAATAGGGTACCCTTATTCTGACCTCTCTACTGGAGGACCTAGACAAGGGGCTCTCTCCCTTGTGAGGGGTTTGTCTGTGTGAAGCTCTTTTTGTTGTATCACAGAAGTGGTCATTTGGTCGTTTCCCACACCCTGCCTTACTATCTCCGGGTTCTTTGTCCCAAGGGCATATCCGGTAAACCCTCACGGGTTTGGGGGTTAAGCCGTAAGGCTGGCGGCAGAAAAAAAGAAGAAGAGGTCTTTGGGTTGATTGGTCAGGTTTCTGAACCACGGCCGCCCTAAAGAAGGCATATGGCTGGCTTGTCTTTTCTAGGATTTCAAGCCTTCAACATGGCTAAACAACTCGGGTTTCTTGTTGGTTTCCGGTACCAACTTACTCAAAGAAGACGAGCCACCCATGAAGCGCCCTAACCATTTGTGGGGCGTGCGGTCCTTTCACAGTCCCCAGCGCATCCAAACATGTCCCCTAACATCAATGCGCAGCACCAAAACAAAACTCATCTTCTGTTGAGCTCCCCTTCTTTGGCGATGTCCAAAGAGGGACACCATGGGGACTGCTTTAGGTCCTGCCTTGCAGCTCGTTTGACCTTGAGTTCGAGGTGGCCCCATGTCTAATGTCCACCCCCCAAAACAAAACGAAGCTTGCTCCAGAAAAAAAAAGAGAACCGGGTAAAACAGCTGTGTCTTCCAGCAAAGAAGAAAGCGAACACAAAAGAGGTATCAATGGAAGATTCGCGCAGGATCGATTTTCCACCATGCTCAAGGAAACCACAAGGAGATGGGTATCTTGTGTCAGACCTCCCATTCATCATGGGGGCTGAGGGAGCGGAGGGGAGGGGGAGGGAGCCTTATTGAGGGGGCTTGTTTGGGCTCCCTCCCCTCCCTCCCCCCCAGCCCCCATAAATTCAGCCCCTGCTTCTTGTTCATTCCTCGATCAGGTGCGTTGTGACGACAACTGGGGGACCTAGTTGTATCTCAGAAGTGGTTGGATAAACCCCTTGATCCCGCAACCCTGGAGTAGATTGGTAGGCTGATGTATGCAACATATTCGTGCAATGGAGAAAGTGACCTCCCAGTGCGGCCATCATGGAATGTAGATGGGTCAGTCCAGACTTTGAGCTTATCACTGAACTGATCGTTGCAACCATTGCCACGGTAGCAAAACACGCTTTCTTGCAGCCCGCTACTAAACATGCGCAGAAACCAAACAACCAAAAAACCCATCAACACCTGCCAACAAGGGTGAAGTCACTGACTTGATCTTCTCACATCTCAAGTGCAACGGAAGCGCGGTTGACGTGCCGCTGTGGGGGGGTCCGAAGAGAAAGAGGCACCGCTTTGGTTCCTTGAGGCAAACTACTGCGGATGGACGAAAACCAGCACTCGGACCAATTCTAGGTCCAGCAGTGAGGTTAGAATAAGCTGGTACCAACGTGTATCCGTAGTCTATTCTAGTAAGGCCTTCCCCTCCCAACCAAAAAAGGGTAAAAGGGCACTACTGGGGGACCTAGAAATTGAATCCATGGAAAACCATATTTACAGGGAATCATCATTCCAGGGTGTTTTAGGTGGTGCAGGATTTCTCCATCCACGGTATGAGTTGCAAGTATATCCTGGGAAGAAAGGGGGTGATGCTCACACAGTGCCCAAAAAATAGTAGCGACCATAGGTGGCCTTTTGGAAAAAATGGATGGCCCTGGTAAATGGAACAAATCCCATCTAAACCAATGCCATCAATCTTTAACCAGGCTCACCTAAAAGGACACCTATGGTAGCGAACGCTTCACCCAGGCCAATGAGCCCCCATCCGCGCGCTTTGTCTCCGATCGCCGATTCGTGCGCCGAAGAAAACACCCACATCTCATCGGTACTTGCTGCCGTACCTCGAAGGACGGAGACCAAAAGGTTTCTTTTTCCAAATGGCGCTTCCTCTAGGTTAGAATAAGTTGGCACCAACTTTTCTCTGTAGTCCATTTTAGTAGGGGAACCCTCCCCCAAAAAGGGGATTCAGGGGCACTACTGGACCTAGGATGGTTGGTTGGGTTTCATGTCAACCTACATGTCCTAGGACTCCGAGTAGCCCCCGAGCTGCATCTTCCAAAGCTTCGTAACAGCACCGCAATGCCTCCCTTCCAACCGCCAGCTAGTATGTTGTGACATTCTTGGGGGACCAACCTTGAGATTCAATCTATGCGTAAAGGTGCTTGAAAATTTCAACTTAACCCTTTTCGTTGGGGCATTTGCTTTACTAAGACTTCTCAGAAGTGGGCTGTTCCCACATCCCCTGCTAGAGTCCAACTTCTAGCGGTTGAGCGGAAACCACCAAACCTCAAAAAGCAAACCCCCTGAGAAGCCGGATGGACTTAGCAGGGGATGTGGGATGGCTGGGAAGCCACCAAGCGCCACGAAGGTGGGGATAGATTTCCCCAACCATCCCGAAGCAAATGTTCGTCTGTGAAGCATGCGAACTTCAACAACTTCAGCACCCCACCCCACCCCAATCTGATTGGGGTGGGTTTCTTAATCACACGAGGAACTCCGCAACTTTGAGGGGATTCCGAAAAACTGGGCTGTCCGTTTTCAGATCCCCAGCCAACAGTGAATAACTTTTAGTGGGTGAAATGCAAATCCAACCGCTAAACACTCACAGGATCCAAACAGCTAAGGAGCCACCAAGAAAAAGACCCCAGGTTCACTTTAGAAAACAATGCCATCCTTTTCTGGCGCAGAACAGAGGAACTGCGTGGGGTAGCCCAAGCCTGGCACAAGTGGAACAAAAAGCTCCTGCTTTGACGTTGGGACTCCTTTTTGGGGTTGGAACAAAAGAACATGTGGCCATGAGTCAAAATCCCGTACCCCCAGTGAACATCCCAATCCCCGCTAAAATAGACTCAAACGGGTGGTGCACCTACCCGAAGATGGTACCATTGGTTTTGACCCACAGCCATCTCACTTGCCCAGAAAGGACCCAGAAGTGAAAGGTGATCACCGTTTGGGGCCGTGACCCCAAGAGCGAGCTGTTCACAGCTGGTGCAATGGCAATGAGAATCCTGGATCAATACACCCATCCCATTAATAGGGGTTGTCACCCACAAAAGAGATCCGATTTTATTGAAAGGCGACAGCCCGATAAATCAACCAGGGTTCTGGTGAGCTTCCCATTTACCCACAAGAACCAGTTCAAATTCAAATCCAAGCCGCCAATCCAACACACCTTTAAGGGATGCCTGAAAACAGGGTACCCTCAAACAACCCCCCCCCCATATCCGGTCAAGTTTCTTTGGTTGATTTTGCGTCCAAACTGAAAGGGTTCAAATGCTAATCTAACATCTTTTTGTGGGCAGCCCATTTTTTTTTTATAACTAGGTCCTCTAGATTTGAGAGCTTTGAATAAGTTGGCACCCTTCTTTTTTTTGTCTATTTTAGTAGGGGGTCCCCCTCCCAACCAACAAAAGGGGGTTCAAAAGGGCACCGATCGCTGGGGGACCTAGGGTGTAAAGGGAAACCAAATGGACACCAAGCATTTTGAGGGTTCCCTGATTTTGAGACATGCTATCTAACTGGACCCAAGGGCACTCGTTCTTGCCCTTCTTGGAGTCAGTACCCAGCTCGAAGTGCTTGGTGCGCTTGATGGGCTTCATTCGCTTGGCCTATCGATTGCCCCTTTCACGGGCGAGAGCCCAGGCGAGAGGAGAATGAGACATGGAATGAGCCCGAAAAACACGCCATCCCATATTTGCTTCCTTGAAGGGAAACCACAGGTTCATTCCCTGATTCCCTGCTGGGCGCCAGCGAGTTCAGTTTGGTTGTTGCTTTCCTTGGCATTTTCGCTCTTTAGCTGAAGGGAAACGAGGAACCTTCTCTCGGCCCAACTCTGTACACTGGAAAGCTCTGGTCTTGTGCTCCCTACCTTAAGGGGATTTAAGGGGGAGTGGTTGATTGGGGGGGGGTGATAAGGTTTCCAATCAACCATTCTTTTAGCTTTCCCCTTTATGAGGTTTTGGGGATCCCTTGCGGCGGCGTTCTCAAAGTTTCGCTCCGTGGTTTGCCTCAAAGGGAAGCAAAACACCTCCTCCTGGCACAAATCTGAGGTACGCCCTAGACATGTTTTTCAGATCGTCCATATTTCGCCTGCCCGATTTTATGAGCTTCGATTTGCTTAAGCCGCCGGGAAACCAATAAAAAAACGATATTCCAGTGGTGAAATCGATTTCCTTTAAAACCAACAGGGGGAAAAAACAACAACAATAATATTCGTCACCAAATGGAAGTGAAACCAATTCTTTTCGGAGGAGGCCTCTGCCGTGAGCGACTCCCTTGAGCTTCAAGCAACTGAGTGCCGTAGCCTATCCTGATACCCTCCGTTGAAAAAAGATACACGCAATGGTGCTCAGGGGAGAAAACCCAGCTGGTCGCTTTGGCTTTCCCTTGAAACCACCAGAAAAGAAGGGTACCCATCAAATTCGCTGGGTGCCTTTCTAAAATAGCGAGAACCTTCAGAATAAGTGGCTTCCGTTTGGAGCACTACAAACACTGCCGTACCATCACAACGGCGTCAACCTCAAAAAACAGCCCCCATGTGCGGCAACTATTCCGGACACCACCCCTTCTCGAAACATCCAAACAAGAGTACCGTCCAACACACGACGCCCCACCTAGGTCCTCCAGTAGAGAGGTTAGAATAAGGATACCCATTGTCTTTCTGTAGTCTATTTTAGTAGGGGGTTTCCCTCCCAACCAAAAAATGGACCCGTAAAAGGTCACCAATTGCCACATGGGTGGCTTCACCGGGAAAGCGCGGGGTGTTTGGCACCAAAGGCCTTGCACTTGGTGCACTCAAACTTCAGCACGATCCTCGGCTGAGGATCGAAACAACTGTGAGAGATGCAGGGGAATGAGGTAAATACCAAAAAATCATGGTTTCCCATGGTTTCCACATGGTTTCAACATGGTGCAGGATTCCGTCCACCCACAGTATGAACCATCCCATACGGTTTCCTGTAAGGGAAATCCCCAGGTTCATTCCCTCATTCCCTACTGAGCACCAGCAAGAAAAGGCTTTCCACTAAGCTTGGTTGACGTTGGAAGGGGAGCAAAAAGTTAAATTTTAGCAGTTAAGTAGGGATTTCAACCACTAAACCACAATGGGTAAAAATGGGAGAAATGTTCCCCAACGACAACCATGTAAGGTAGATGCGCATATTGCCAGTAAACCAACCATGCTCGTCCAACCAAGACCATCAGTACTCCCGAGTGGCCAGGCAATGCCCATTCATACCCGGTGTCAACATTTTCGGCGGCAAACAGGAACGACACCATGGAGAACGGGGAGAACGAGCACCATGGCTGCAAATTAGCATGATCAAAGTCACCCCCTAAAGGGAAACAACCACATTTTCTGACTTTGATAACCCCCAGAAACAGTCAAACTCATGACCCCAGTAGCATGGCCCGTTCTCCAGGGGTGTCAAATTCGCCGGCCCATCCATATTTTGAACAACTCGCCATGCCCTGGTTGCTTGCCCGGCGTCTTCTTGGTCGTCTTCGCCTGTGCCAAGTCGCGGTAACACTTTCCCAAAACGAAGGGCACCACAACACCGACTCTGTTGCCCCAGCCATTGATACTGCGGATGGACGAATTTCTGCACCACCCGAGAACCCCTGAAATGATGATTCCCCCTGTAAATACCAACATACAGTAGGTTTTCCATGGTTTCAAGGTGGCGCGAAGTGGATTTCGTCCATCCACAGTATGCGCATTAGACCAAGCCACTTTGGTCCATACCGGGGCATCACTTAGCCACAAAGTTCGGAAGCTCGTGCCATTGGAAGAAGGACTCGGAGGTTCTGTCCTTTGGACCCCAAAAGCAGGAGTAGTAGAGAAGCAAGCAAACACTATTTGGAGTGGGGTGCCCCCAAATTTGCGGCACACCCAAAAACTACGCTTTCTGAGTGTGGTCCATATTTGGCCTACCCTAAACTGAAACAAACATGGGGGAGTGTGGAGGAGACCCAAGATGCCTGAATGCGCCCGCCTTCTTGTGGAAGACGGGCTTGGTCTGTCCGCCAAAGCCGGCCTGCTTCTTATCCTCGGAAGCCGAAGCCATGTGCAGCCAGTCTAGGTCCTCCAGTAGAGAGGTTAGAATAAGGGTACCCTTTTTCTTGGCTGGAATTAGGGCCCCATCAAAATAAATATTTTTTTGCCTGGTTAGCGGAAAACAAAGGGAACCCCAAAAAAGCAAGAAATAAAAAGGGGAACTAATTCTGGGGAAGTTTTCTGTAGTCTATTTCAGTAGGGGAACCCTCCCCCGAAAAAGGGTAAAAGGGCACTACTAGGGGACCTACCAGTGACTTCTTGTGACTCAGAAGTTTAGGGGAGACAAACACGCGCTCTTTCTTGTTGGTGTTAGAGAATCCCATTCGGGGGAGTGGTCCAAGCTAAGCAAAGGGGGTTTCCTAAGGCTCCCTAAGGAACCCTAGAGAACCCCAACAAACCCAAAAGATCTCAACTACTCACGCGCCTTGTACCCCGCGTAGGGATTCCATCACAATCGTGGGCATGCTCAAGATGGAAACTCGTCGATAGGCACAAACATGTGGGATCAGGGATCCAAAGGGCTCAGCTTTCGGGCGGAACAGGCTGATCAAATGCTACCCCAACTGGCAGCTGACGGAAAGGAACAGAACGGAACAATGGCTATGAATTTAAGAACGGAACCAGCGAAATCAAGGGGCTGGTGGACCAGCTCCCCACCGAATTTGGATGTCCAAAGCTCGGGATCCATGCACATTCTTGGTTGCTGTTGACTCCCCATGCAAAAAGTTTAACTTTTTTGGGGGTTTAGTGGACAACCCCTTGATTTCCTAAAAAAACTTCAAGTCTAAAAATTCAACCCAATAGCAGTCAAGAATTCACGCCCACACCGACAAGGGCAATGGTTCTTTTGGTCTTATTCCAGGAAACCAAATTGGCGGGCACTACCTCAACGGTTCTTAGCCAAATGAGCCTTACAGTTTTTCCTTTGAGCACTACTAGGACCCCCGGATTAAGCCGAACCCCTGGTTGACGAGTCGGTGGGCGGCCCAATTTCTCCTTTTTGTGGGGGTTCATCACTTTGGGAGGGGACGCGCAAAACATCATGGGGGCTGGGGGGGAGGGAGGGGAGCTTATTTAGGGCTTATTTGGGCTCCCCCCCCCCCCCCTCCCCCCAGCCCCCATGAAATAGTTTCCGGGGTTCCCGCTCTGCGAAACACGTGCCCTACCCGATCCAATCCGAGGCGCGTATCGTCGCTTGCCCTGCGCGCTCAGGGAAGCCTTGCCCGTCTTGTACTGCGACACCTCGGCGAAACCTCTTATCCCAGTGGCAGCTCCACAGTGCTGCTTTAAGCTCGCTTCCCAAGTTGACTGGCCAAAAAAAGTCGGAACTTTTTGTTTACCACCAAAATGGTCTTCCCAAAAAGTATAAAGTCCATGAACTCAGGGAGTGAGTTTAAGGGACCTCTCGTTCTTGGCCTTTGAAATTTGGTAGCGGCCAATTGAGCCTCTGCAATTCTCCTTCATCTCCGGAAAAGGCCGCGAAGAAATTGAGCCCCTGAATTTCTTAGCACTTCATTGCCCGCTAAGAAATTAAGCCCCTGAATTTCAATTTTAGGAAAATGGCTAAGAAATCCAGCCCCCGCGTTCTAGAAGGGCAAAATCCAGCCCGTTTAAAGACGAAATGGACGCCAAGAAATTCAGCGCCCTTGCGCCTGAACTAACCGATTTCTTCCACAGCGCTCGCAATGTAGTCCGGAGTCATCATTGTACGCAATGTAGTCCGGAGTCATCATTATACGACCCATGCATGATGTCTGTCTAAGCATCTTAGAAGAGGAGGGTGAACGAAAGCTAGCCCTCCAAGGACATGTACGACCCAGTGGTGGCCATCTTAGCAACGCACAGTAAGACCCAAACTTGCACCAGGTCCTAATGACACATATTCCCTAGCCGCAAACATGTGGACGTCAATGTGCTCGTGGCGTGGGGGCGGCGGGGCTGTAGCAAAGACTTCGTCTCCGGAATCAGTACCCCCTTCCAACAAGACACGCGCGCGCACACACACACACGACACACAAACAAGCACACAAACAACAAAAAAAATGAATACTCAACAATTCAATAAAACCCCTTCAACACCCCTTCAACAAATCAACAACAACAATTGAACAAACAACAAAAAACCGATGAATCAACAAGCCAAACCTCGAAGCAGACCCTGAATTGCCTACTAGCAAGAACTTCCTCGCATAGCTTTCCTGCTCTGTCGCCGCAGGGAGCCCTAGTTTGGGCTTTCCTTTTGGCTCGTCAAGGCTTTCCCCCAAAAGGGTGGCTTACGGCAAGGCCGCAAGTGGTCAACAACTCGGTTGCTTTCTGCTCCCCTGCTAAAAGTGACTAACTTTTAGTGGTTTAGTGGAAAACCCATTAGTTGGCAAAAAGTGAAAGTCCTAACAGCCAAGCAAGATGCACCAAAGAACATGTTGGGGCAAGCAAAGGCAGCTTAGGTTGGGTCAAAGTTAAAAAAAACAAAAACGAACAGCTTTGACAAACCAATTTGATTGGAGGAGATTCGCACCCAAAGAAACCAAACTTTGCCCCAACCTAACTTCCATTTGCTTAAGCTGCCTGGCAAAAAAACACAAAACGTCCCGTAGTGATACATGTCCTTTAAGACCAACAAGGGAAAACAAAATAAACACACAATCTGAGGCAAATGGAAGCAAACCAAAGCTGTTCCAAATGCCGGGCCTTGTGTCCGGTGTGCTTCCGGCACTTCCGGCAGTACCTAAGGACTCCGATCCGGTCCGCTGGGAGGATTCCAGCTGGCAACCCGGCAAGGTGAAAAGGGACTTGACTTGGTGCTGAACAAAACTACTATTTTTCGAGGAGAAAAACAATCGGGTGAGTTGTCTCTTGCTTCGAGTTCAACTTCCACCGGAAACCTCCCAACTTCAGGCTCCAAGATGTGGAGATAGGAAGTAGAGTGTAGGATAAATGAACCGACACAAGACACAAGAATAAACTAGAAACTAGTCAACCGTCAGATGCTTCATTCCTATCTTGAGCCACTGGACCACTTCATTCACTGGTCAGCACATGTAAATATAAAGGCTGCGGACTCCCTTTTTCGCTAGTCGGAGGAAGCCTCTCTGCTGCAAGCCGAACAAAGATGACTCGACTCGAACAGTCACTTCAAGTTCACCGAGGGGCCCAGAACCAAGGGAGAAGAGCGGGAACCCTGCGAGGGTGTGCCCTTCTCAAGCGCAGTGTATGGCGCATGTGAGGGAATTGCCAATTGGGATCGGAGGGGATCCCCGAAAGGTGGTTTCCTGAGAGCTTCCCTTCGCAAACCCGGAGATATGCTAAGACGTGAAAACGAGCGGGTGCGATGGGTAGGGAATGAACCGGAAGGGCTTTCTTGGGGTCATTCCATTTCTCATTGCCGCACCCGGGGATCGGGTTTAGCCCTGGCTTATTGCCATCGCACGGCAAGCCAGATCAGCCATGAGCGATGTCACCGCAAACCCCGCTGAGAAACGGTTCCACATGTGTCATAACAAAGCCTAGAGGGCCTATAGAAAAGTCGCATTAATTTCACCACTCAGCAAATCGATGTTTTCAGCCACTCGGCAACCTGATGTTTTGAGCTACCCTCGCAAGAAAACATGGGAATCCCTAAGGGCAATAAACAAACAACCGCAAATTCCTCTGGGCTCCACGTCGAAGCACCGGAGGTTGGCCCTTTGCCAAATCCGAGCCGCGTGTTCCTTGTCTTTGGGATGTTCCTTGGTGCATCGGGATTCGGAATAGCCCTCTGTTGGTGGAATATGGCCATGGGTCAAAACCCCTTACCCGCAGTGAACATCCCAATCCCCACTAAAATGGGTTCTAAAATGGGCGGTGCACCTACCCCAAAATGGGATCCCATTGGTTTTGACCCACAGCCATATGTCAAAACATGAAGATTTCCCTCAAAATGGCATGGCTTGTCTTTTGGCTTCCCAAAGTCAGATCACCCAAAGGCTACTTTCGCTCACACCGACAAACAGACACACAGAAGCACGGGCACAGGCTCGGGCACATGCAAAGAGAAACCAACAGGTTTTGAGGTGTTGAGGGCTTTCTTGCGGTGGACCGTCTTCTGGTTGGTACTTAAAAGTGAAACCAGAAGGACAGCCTTGCCATTTTCTGGAAATGGGGCCACTTCACATTTAGGAACACCCCCTAGGCCACTCAGTCTGTTTCCATCCTGGTACACCATGAGTATGGAAAAGGGTCCGGATTTTTTCTGGGAATGTTTCGCGTTGTGTGTTGCTTTTGGAAGAACCCCCAAAAAGAATAGCCCTCCGATGGTCACAAATAGGGACTCCGAGCGGTTGCATAAGCGACATACCGCCTCATAGGTTGCCTGGATCATTCTCACCTGTTCATGGCACAGGAAACTCTACAGGAAATCCATGTTTCTGGTAGCTGGCAGTTTCCCGTAGAAATTTGTGTAGTTGGTTTCCATGGATGTTGTAACTCAGTACCTCTCACCAATCCCGCACAGCAGCAACTTTCGATGAACATGCGAACGGGCCCAGAAGAAGGGTGAAACCGGCTGTGAGGCCTTTGGCCCCTTCCAAGCCCATAGAGCAAAAAAAACAGCCGTCAAATTAACCTCCATTTGCTTAAGCCTTCTGGCAAACAAACATCCCCTTCAACGAGTTACACATCCACAAAAATCCCCCTTCAAAAATCCCCTGAAGCCTTCTGGCAACAAAATCCCCCTCAAAATCCCCGTAGCGACACATCCCCTTCAAAACCAAAGGAAAATAAAACATGACCATGCTCCTCTAAAAATAGCTCCACTAAAGCATATGCAAGTGGCTGGCCGCTAACGCATGATTGAATGGGTTGGCAAAACTCTGTCAGCAATCCATCTGCAAGAGATTTATCGTAGTCAGAGTTCAAGACAATGCAAACTGCATTGATGTCCAGAAATACCATAGGATGCACTTCTTCCCTGCTCCCTGCAGAAGAAAAAAACGCGGGGGAAGGGAACATTTGGGGTTGTGACCATGGGATTTGGCAAGTCCAGTCTTTACCTGGGTTGGTCTTTGACACTTGCAAAACGGCAATTGCAGGTTGGCGGGAAACAGTCCTTGTCCAAAAGCTCACTTGGGAAGTGAGGAGTTAAAACTACGTTACCAAATCTTGTAGCATCAACAAAACTACAGGGGGACCACCAAGAACAAGGGCGTTGCCAGCGTGCCCCTGTTTGGGTGAGAAACTTGGTTGAAGTTAATTCAATTCGGTCACAATCGCAAGCTTCATGGGGCCAGGAGGGTTAGCAGGAACGGAACAACACACAGTGGGTGTGGCTCGTGCATAAGTTGAGCATGCCCAAGATATGGATTTCGGTTTGCTTTTGGTGTCTCTTTAAACCAACGCCAAAAAGGGCGCCCTCAAAAACACACACACACACACCCTGGTTGTACATTTTATGATGGACTCCGTTTGGCTGATTTTCCATTGCTGAAACTTGTGAAACAAGCCCAAATGGGCGCCCAACCTCAAAAAGACCGACACAGTGCGGCCGGTTTAAGTCCCCATTGCCCCCCGGTATCCCCCGGTATCCCCCGGTGCGCCGAGCATCACCATGGCGCCGAAATCGCGAGCAGACAGGTTTCCGAGCCAAGGGCTGCGAATGAAGTTTCGACGGCTGTGCGGCACTGGCTTTGGGACCACTATTGGGTATGGCTCAAAAGCAACTTCCATTTGCGTTTTCGCCCCTGGAAAAAAATAGCAAACTTGCAGTAGTGATAGGTGCTCTTTAAAACCAAGAGGGAAACATAAAAACATATTCATTTCAGCAAATGGAAGTTACGGAGCTGGGGTGACGCGGGTTTGAGTCTTTTTGCATTTACCGCCGTGCCATTTTAGCTCTGACCACTTTTTCTTGAGCCGCCAATTCAGCTTCCCGAGAAATGGTCGTCAGCCCGGTGCGTGGTTCGATACGGGAAGAACCCTCCCGAGAAATGAGTTCGGTTCGGGAATCCACTGCCGGTTCAAAGCCCTCGGTCATTCCCAAGCAAGTTGAACATTTACCCAAAAGATCCCCACAACTTCGATCTAGGTTTGCTTCCAAAAAAAAGGGAAAAAGACCCCCCAAGAAGCAAACGCAGCTGCAGATACCTGGGTTTTTGGTGGCTTGTCGGTAGGAACTTGAGGGCGTTCCATAGCAGGGGAGACAGGGCATCGAGTTGGGAAGATCTTTCTATGATTTGGACCGGGGCGCGAAATGGCGCGTGTCGGTTTTCCGTTTGATTTCACTTTGAAGCTACAACAAAGGGGGGTACCCAAAAAACACATCTCAACAGCGGGAATTTTCAGCCCCCCCCCCCCCCCCCCCCGGAAAAAAAAGAGAAAAAAAAGCGCCGGGACCCTTTTGTAAGCTTTGGGAAAACAACGGGCCGGTGAACAAGAGGCCGGTAGGTAAGGGATTCCTCCTTGGGTACTCTGAAATTCTCGTAACAAATTTGTTTGATGGCACACAAGCATCAACCGGAAAGGAAATTCCGGCAAAGGCCCTTCCAGGGCTAACAGCTCAATATATTCAGATATTTGGAGTCTCCACCCTGAGAACATGGGGTCTTGACCCCTTACTCTTGGGCGGTCAAATGCTTCCTTGAAGCTGTTTCGGTATGGCTTCGAGCACTGACTTGCTAATCCGCCTTCCTCTCGCTGCCCTGAAGACCCGGGTTGCCATGCTTCCAACCACGGGTTGCCAACAACAAGCAAAACGCCAAGAAGAGCAATGCAACAAACCCCAAAGCAATAGAAACCAAAAAACCGCGTTGTTGAAAATTTCTTGAGAAGCAGGCAGCAAGTGTGCCGCAAAACAATATTCAATCGCAACTACCCCATCAGAAAAAACAAGGAACACCCACGCCAAGAACGCCGAAGCAACCAACTGCTTACATAGCTAGGCCTGCAAGCAAGGGAGTTACCCCCCCCCCCAAAAAAAAAAAAACACAAAAAAAAAAAAACAAAGGAACAACACATTTGGCAAAACCTGGAGGTTACGCACCCGGAGAGTTGCTAAGGTTTGGAAGCTGGGGGCTGTACGCGGTTCGGTGCCAGAAACCGGTTCAAAGTCCCAGTTCCTATATATCACCGCCACCAATGAACCGGGCTGTCCCCAAATCCCCTAGAATGCTTTCACCTTTGGTGGGTGAAAGGGGACCCAGCCACCAAACCAACTGAAAAAAACGAACAAAAATGCTATGGAACTGGATGGCTGGGCAGGTACCTGACTAATGTCAACCCCGGATCTAAGTAGAACCCCTGGTTGATTTTGATCGGGGGGTGTCCAATTCCTTTTGGTGGTTGGATTCAGACCACTTTTGGAGGGGTTTTCCACCCCCCGAATAATGGGCTTCGGGTTAAACAAATCGTGGGTCAACATTACCTCGGTTGCTTTCTGCTCCCCTGCTAAAAGCTTTTAACTTTTAGTGGTTTAATGCGGAAAACCAATTCATTGGTTGGCAACACAAGTTGTTCAGTCCTAACATCCCTTGGCAAAATGCACCAAAGTTACAGCTTCGGAAGTGGGTGTTGGTCTCTCAACTCGGATCGGATCCAAATTTCGCACTCCGAACCCAGGCCTGCGGCTGGCCACCCCACCTTCCGATCAGGAGAATCGGAACGGGCATGGAGCGAACCTTGGGTTAAGGCCCCTGGAAAAACTAGACCACGGTTGGCCCGAAAGCAGAACATCGCAAGCGAGGTCGGCCCAACGCTGCAGGATGCGTTCTTTTTCCCTACACTTCGTGAAGCAAGCGCGAGACAGCACCAGGCAAGGTGCTCTGCGCAAACTGGTCGGTGCAAGTTGGTCTGCGCAAGTTGCTCTACGCAAGTTGCACTGTGCAAGTTGCTCTGCGCAAGTTGCTCCGCGCAAGTTGCTCCGGCAAGTTGGTCCCTGCAAGTGGCTCCCTGCAAGTTGCTCTGTGCAAATTGCGCTCCCTGCAAGTTGCTCTGTGCAAGCTGCTCTGTGCAAGTTGCTCTGTGCAAGTTGCTCTGCGTAAGTTGCTCTGCGCAAGTTGCTCTAGGCAAGGCGCTCTGCGCAAACTGGTCGGTGCAAGTTGGTCTGCGCAAGTTGCTCTGTGCAACTTGCTCTGCGCAAGTTGCTCTGCGCAAGTTGCTGTAAAATGCAAGTTGCATCTTGCGACGCCCGCCCGCGGGCCAGGGAGGAATCGAACCCGCGACCCGCCGGTTCCGGGAGCAGGCGCGCTGAGTTTTTGCACCTCGACCACGCCGATTCCCGCAGAGGGTTGCGCGAGCACCGCAGAAATCGCAAAAAACCATGGGTTTTTGCACCTCGACCACGCCGATCCCCGCAGAGGGTCGCGCGAGCAGGTTAGAAATCGCAAAAAACCATGGGTTTTTGCACCTCGACCACGCCGATCCCCGCAGAGGGTCGCGCGAGCACCGCAGAAATCGCAAAAAACCATGGGTTTTTGCACCTCGACCACGCCGATCCCCGCAGAGGGTCGCGCGAGCATTTAGAAATCGCAAAAAACCATGGGTTTTTGCACCTCGACCACGCCGATCCCCGCAGAGGGTCGCGCGAGCAGGTTAGAAATCGCAAAAAACCATGGGTTTTTGCACCTCGACCACGCCGATCCCCGCAGAGGGTCGCGCCAGGTTAGAAATCGCAAAAAACATGGGTTTTTGCACCTCGACCACGCCGATCCCCGCAGAGGGTCGATTTTCGTGTAGTGTCGTCGGCACTACCCCGCCGCCCTAAGAAGAGATTTTAACTCCTCGCAAGTCAATTGCACTTGACTCCTTGCACTTGCAACTTGCACTTGACTCCTTGCTTGTTTCAAGGAGTCATTGCAAGCAGTCATTGCAAGGAGTCATTGCAAGGAGTCATTGCAAGGAGTCATGGCAAGGAGTCATTGCAAGGAGTCATTGCAAGGAGTCATTGCAAGGAGTCATTGCAAGGAGTCATTGCAAGGAGTCATTGCAAGGAGTCATTGCAAGGAGTCATGAGAGCCATTGCAAGTTGCAAGGAGCCAAGTGCATGGAGTAAAGTGCAAGTCGCAAGTGCACGGAGTTAAGTGCAAGTTGCAAGTGCAAGGAGCCAAGTGCAAGGAGCCAAGTGCAAGGAGCCAAGTGCAAGGAGCCAAGTGCATGGAGTCAAGTGCAAGTTGCAAGTGCATGGAGTCAAGTTGCAAGTGCAAGGAGTCAAGTGCAAGTGCAAGTTGCAATCCTTGCCATGACTCCTTGCAATGACTCCTTGCAATGACTCCTTGCAATGACTCCTTGCAATGACTCCTTGCATTGAGTTTCATGATGATGATTCCTTGCAATGACACCTTGTAATGACTCTCATGAGAACAATTCAAGTGAACCCAGCGGAAGAACCCTTCGCCATGCTTTCGGGAAAAAAACATAGCATATTTCCAGTAGTGAAATCGATTCCCTTTAAAACCAACAGGGGAACATTAACACATATTCTTAAGCAAATGGAGCGAACGGTTTCTTCCTGGGTCGTCCTTCGGGTACGTGCTTTCTGGGGCTACGTGCCCAGGGCTTTAAGGTGAACATGTTGAAGGCTTTTGAGAACTTTTGGCTAGGTCCTCCGAGTTTGGAATAAGGGTACCCAAGTTTTTTTTCTTCTGTGGTCTATTGTAGCAGGCACTACTGGGGGACCGAGTTGGGGATTCTCATGCTTTTTTTTTGTGTCGCAGTGGTGTCCGTTGAAACTGCCATGTAGAGGATGTCACTTCCGGGAAGCCCGACATGGAATGGGGATAGAGGAGCAAAACCATCTCATGGACTTCCCCTGACCTGCCAGTGGCTGATTTTGATTCAGAGGTGTTTCTGGCTTTCAGTACTGGGGACCCCAGATTGATTAACCCCAGATTCATCAACCCCAGTTTATTCTAAAGGGGCTGTCGCCGGGTTTGGGCATTTTTGGAGGGACCACCCCGAAAAAGTAGGACGGGTTCTACTTCGATCCGGACAGTGGGGAGTTCGAGGAACCCCTAAGAAATCCAGATTGCGTGATTCTGCTTCGGGCGATTCCCCTCCCATTTCTCCCGGGTCTCGGTAGTGGTGGGGGAAACTCTCTTGCGGCGCCCGCAAGGAAGCACCCGGATTTTTTTTTACAATAGCTCTGGTCTTTCATACTACCAAAGCCCGATCACCCCACCGCCAGCGCAAAAACACATTGTAGTAAAACGTGGTATTTCATTGTAGGTCCCCAAACGCCCGTCCCAGCCAAAGAGTACAAAGTCGAAGAAAAGATGCATCCAACTGCAACAGCAGTTGAACCTGAGACGGGCTTTTCGGCTCGGGGATCTTTTGCTTTAGGGCGGCCTTGAGATTAAATCCGACTGGAAAATGGAGCCGAATCCAAGTCGGAGGGTTGATCAAGACTTGGTTGACGTTGGAAGGGGAGCAACAAATTAAATGCTAGCGGTTAAGTGGTTGGATTTCAACCACTAAATCACAATAAGCAAAATGGGAAACATGTTTCCCGACAACAACCATGAAGAGGCAACCAAGCTCCAACTTTCGACCCTCCGAGCCTCAAGGTGCAGGTGATGGCTTGCTGAGAGCTTCATTTGGCTGGTCAAATTTAAACAGATTTCCATTTAGGCTTGAATTTTGGGTACCCATTTTTGACCAAA